TGAATGCTAAGAACTTTCTGTTCAGTTCTATTGATAAGAGCATTCTCAAAACCATCACTCAGAAGGGAACCTCCAAGCAACTATGGGACTCAATGAAGACACGTTATCAAGGGAATGAACGTGTTCAGAAGGCAAATCTGCAAGGACTCAGGAGAAACTTTGAGCTGCTGCAGATGAAGGATGGTGAGACAGTGACAAACTATTTCAGTCGAGTAATGGTCATTGCTAATTCAATGAGGAATTGTGGAGAAGATATGACAGACACAAAGATTGTTGAGAAGGTACTCAGAACTCTCACTGAGAAGTTCAATTACATAGTGTGCTCCATTGAAGAATCCAAGGACATAGCTGAGATGTCTGTGGATGCCTTGCAAAGCTCCCTGCTGGTTCATGAGCAAAAATTCTCAAAGTCCACCTATGGTGAAGAGCAGGCTCTGCAAGTGTATAATGGAGGAAGAGGAAGAGGAGGCAGATTTGGATATCAAGGCAGGGGAGGAAGAGGACGAGGCAGGAGCTGGAATAAGGACCAGATTGAATGCTACAAGTGCCATAAAATGGGACATTACAGTCGAGAATGCCCTGAATGGCAGACTCATTACTCAAGCTGGGAACCCACTGACATCAAAGATGATGTTCTGCTGATGGCCTACACTGAAGAGAAGATATCCAGTAGAGAAAGCTCGAGAAAGAATGGTGACTGGTGGTTCCTTGATAGTGGGTGCAGTAACCACATGTGTGGTGACAAAACCTGCTGAGTGTGGGACAAATGCAGGAAAAGAATCTTGCCTTCACAATAAAGCAAGGAAGCTGCAAGATTTATCATGAGAAACATGGTTTGCTGCTACAAACATCCATGAAGTCCAACAGGATGTTTGTACTGCAAGCCAACCATCATGCTGAAGCCAATCACTGCCTACAAACTGATGTTGAACAACATGACACACTCAACCTATGGCACAGGCGGTTTGGTCACCTCAGCAAGGCTGGTCTGCTGGAGTTGGAAAAGAAAAGGCTGGTGGAAGGGCTTCCTAAGTTAACTGGAGAGCTTGGAGTCTGTGGAACTTGTATGATTGGCAAGCAATGCAGGACAAAATTTCCAAAAACAGGAGCATGGAGAGCCATCAAGCCACTGCAACTTCTACATGCTGACTTGTGTGGCCCTATCACTCCTGCATCTAATGGAGGGAAGAGGTATATCATGACTCTTACTGATGATTACAGCAGAAAACTATGGATTTACTTCTTATCTGCAAAATCAGAAGCCTTAGCATGCTTTAAACGTTTCAAAGCACAAGTGGAAAATGAAACTGGAAGAACTATTGCATGTCTTAGGACTGATAGAGGGGGAGAGTTCTTACTGCATGAGTTTCGTGATATATGTGAAGAGGCAGGAATCAGAAGGCAGCTAACAGCTGCTCTCACCCCTCAGCAAAATGGGGTTGCTGAGAGGAAGAACAGGACCATCATGAATATGGTCAGATGTTCACTGGAGGACACCAAATTTCCACCAACTTTCTGGCCTGAGGCTGTAGATTGGGCTACTCATATTCTTAATAGAAGTCCAACTAAAGCTAATGATGGCAAGACACCTCAAGAGAGATGGACTGGAAAACCACCTTCAGTGAATCATTTCAGAATCTTTGGTTGTGTGGCCTTTGCTCATGTTCATGACAGTTTAAGGAAGAAGCTGGATGATAAAAGTGTAAAGTGCAACTTCCTAGGCCTGTCTAAGGAATCTAAAGCCTATAAGCTGTTCAATCCTGAGACTAAGAAGGTTATTATCAGCCGAGATGTGGTCTTCAATGAAAAGGAAGGATGGATCTGGAAGTCTGACACAGAGCCTGACTTGATCAAACTGGTGTGGGAAGGAGCAGAAGAAGCCTGGTATGACTCAGAAGAAGGTGATGATGATGATCAAGGAGGACATGAGGAGGAGGCTGAGCCTTCTGAAACCACCTCAGAAGAAGAAGAAACTGAAGAGGAGTCTGAGAGCAACTCAGTTCCAACACAGTCTGAGGCCTCAGAACCAGTCACACCAGCTGCTACTGAATCAGAAGAAGAAGAAGAGAATGTGACTGATGCTCTGGGACTTCCACCTAGCAATGAGCTAGGACCAAGAAATCGAAAGTTTCCAAGTCGATTTGATGGTTTTGACTGTCAAGGAATGCCAAATCTGGCATTTGCTGAAACTGATTGGTGGGCTCTAGTTGCTGTCAGCAGTGATCCAACCTCCTTTGATGAAGCTGTTCTTGAAGAAAGGTGGAGAAAGGCCATGGAACAAGAGATGGATGCCATAAGAAGAAATCACACGTGGATTCTGGTTGATAAACCAGCAGGAGTGACTCCTATTGGAGTCAAGTGGGTATACAGGACCAAGTTGAAGGAAGATGGATCCATAGACAAATTCAAGGCCAGGTTAGTTGCAAAGGGCTATGCTCAAAGGTATGGAGTGGATTATGATGAAGTCTTTGCACCAGTAGCTCGATGGGACACCATCAGAACTTTCTTGGCCCTTGCTGCACAACATGGTCTGACTGTGTATCAGTTAGATGTTAAGAGTGCTTTCTTGCAGGGAAATCTCACAGAAGAAGTGTATGTTGAACAACCTCAGGGTTTTGAGATTCCTGGGCAAGAGGGTAAGGTATACAGGTTGCAAAAGGCTTTGTATGGCCTTAAACAGGCTCCTCGAGCTTGGTTTAGCAGGATTGAAACTCACTTTCTAAACACTGGTTTTGAAAGATGTGAGTTTGAGCAGACATTGTTTGTGAAGAAATCTGGAAGGGATGTGTTGATGGTCAGTGTGTATGTTGATGACCTAATCTATGCCAGCACTAGCCCTGCAATGCTAAAAGAATTCAAGGAATCTATGGAAGCTGAATTTGAAATGTCAGATTTGGGAAAGATGAAGTTTTTCTTGGGCGTGGAGGTAACTCAAACTGGCACTGAAATCTTTATTTCTCAGCAGAAGTATATTAGTGAGCTGCTAGACAGGTTTCATCTTGCAGATTGCAACCATGTCAACAATCCTATGGTTCCAGGAACAAAACTTTCAAAAGCTGGTGATGGTGTCGAGGTTAATGCAACTAGCTATAAGCAGCTTATTGGAAGCCTACTTTATGCAACAGCAACAAGGCCTGACATTATGTATGCAGTTTGCAAATTGAGCAGGTTCATGGACAAACCTACAAAACAACACATGCTGGCAGCAAAGAAGATACTCAGGTATCTCAAAGGAACACAGAAGTATGGAATTCTGTACAAAAGACAAGAAGAAGGAGACTGTCTACTTGGTTACACTGACAGTGACTATGCTGGTGATTTGGATGATAGAAGAAGTACCAGTGGGTATACTTTCTTTTTGGCAGGAGGAGCAATTTCATGGAGCTCGAAGAAACAACCAGTGGTTACTCTCTCTACAACAGAAGCAGAATTTGTGGCTGCATCTTTCTGTGCAGCTCAGTGCGTGTGGCTTAGAAGAATTGTGGCTCAAATGGGATGGCTGGATTGTGTGGAAGGAACAACCAGGATTATGTGTGATAACAGTTCAGCCATCAAGCTTTCAAAGAATCCTGTAATGCATGGTCGAAGCAAACACATAGATGTTCGCTTTCACTTCCTAAGAGAGCTGGCCAGGAATGGAACAATTGAATTGGAGCATTGTGGGACTAAGGAACAAGTAGCAGACATCATGACCAAGCCATTGAAGCTTGATACATTTCAGTTGTTGCGCAGCATATTGGGAATGGTTAATGGAGCAGAATTGGGGATTGAAGATTGATGAACTGAAGCTGGTTGAAGATGCTTCAGTTCAGGGGAGGCTGTTGAAGATATTGATCGATGAAGTTCCAGATCAGGGGAGGCTGTTGGTGAAGGCTGCTGAAGCTCTGCTAATCCGAATCCTTTCTGGAGAAGGAAAAGCGGCTGCACTGTGTCGTTTTAATTAGTTAAGTCTCAAACACTGAGACTGTGTCGTTTGGTCTTTTTCTGTTTTAGTCCTTGTTTTTCTGTTTGAGTCTGTAAAAGCCAGTTTGGCTAAACTAGCCGTTAGGGATAGTCGTTGGTTGCAGAGTCAGTTTGTTAGGTTGCTTATTCTCAGGGATTGAGAGGTTAGAGCTGTTTAGCAGAGCCGATTCCAAAGGCTTCAGTTGAGAAGCTCATGTATAAAGCTCGATCTCAGTCGAATGAATAAATTGTCAGTTTGCATTCTATTTGATTTCAACATCAACAACAGATCGACCAGCTTCTTTGCAGCAGCAACAGCTATCAGCAGCCTTACCTAACAGCTGTCTTCGCCGATTTCTTCGTTGCGAACTGGGTATCGTGGAATTCCAGGACCGGGTAAAGATCGCCAGAGATTGGCCCATCTTTGGGACAGGACGCTGGTTTTCGCTGCTTTTTTTGAGGGTTCTACGCGAGCGAGGATGTTATGGATGACGTCGTCGGGTAACTCCGATATCCGGTTTCTCCATGGCCATTGGTCTCCAGGCGGCGGCGTTTCCCCATAGTTTAGGGACGGGTTGGAAGAAAGCTTGAAGGAAGAAAACAGGGGATGGTTCCTAATTCAACCCTATATTATTAGGTTTTTGGGTTCTGGAGTTGGTAGCCCAAAGTTCCGATTAGTCGGAACTAATGCTGCCTAGGTCGGCCAATTGATCCTTCTACTTATTGAAAAAGGATTCTGTTAGTCAGACCCAATGCTCCATTGTCTCCGAGTCCGAAACGGCTACTTGGTTCTCAAAGGATCGTTCGGTGGCGCGGCTATCAACCGAATCAAATACTACTCGCGATACACGATCAACGATAATACTTGAGATGATCATTTCGTGTGGCATGCCTTCTTCGGAACACCTGAATCGAGCAATGACATGAACTTTTCGGAACCATGTTTAAGGACTAGAAAACAATACGCACCATTTCTTTAATAAATAAAAGCTAGGTACGCTTTTTCTCCCAATGTTTTGTTTACTGTTTCACTTTCTGTCGTTTTGTGGCGATGAGTGAAAGAGTGCCTTCCATGGGAGGCGTTGCCCGGCCCAACGTTGCCTTACCTTCCCTCAGTCCCGGCAGGCGGCAGGCGGCCATGCCGTTGAGCTTTCCCAAGTTTTCTGGTCTTCGTCTTTCCTCACACACGCCACCGCATCTGTTGGCACACGCCACCAGCCATGAATCGTACAGCCCTAGCCTTGCTCAATGGTTGATTAAGGTACAATTGATTGCCACTGATTCCCTCTGCTAGATCACGTCCATTCACCCGTCAATTCTGCCTCTAAGACTCTATCCTCTCACCACCATTCTCCAAATCTCCCCATCCCAAAGTGGTTTTCAATGGGGGCAATCGGCTCTGCAACTAGCTTCGGCACGCCAAGATCCGAAGCCGCCATTCCTCTTTCCCAAGCCCAATCCCATCTTTGGATCGAAGAACGAGCAACGAAAACGATAATGGTGGTCGGCTTCTAAGGTACCTTTCTAGAACCCAGTTTCGTCTGAATCCTTCTGGCTACATCGCTCTCTCATTTCCATAGATCCCCTGTTTAGGTAAGCTTTGACCGATGAACACGACGTTGTCGTCCTAGGAACAGGTTCTGTGTTGAACACTCAGACGAAGTCGAGTTTGAAAACAGAGAGGAAAACAAGGTTGGGGATGACGACGGTAATGAACAAGGAACGACGACGGCTGCGCCTGGTAGGTCTTCTTTATGACCTTCTCTTTCTTGACTTTTTGGTTCTCTATTTTCTCGGTTCTGTGCTTCTTCTCCCTTGCCCGCTGCCACGTTGCCTCAAATGTGTTTCTGCCTACAGATAACACCCCATCTCTTTGTGTAGCTCTTTGAAGAAAAGTTCTGGAAGGCAATAGCTTGCTATGATAGAGAAAAGTTTTTTGCAGAATTTGATCAATAAGCAATGAATTGTTAGGATCAGATGCAGATAGTGCCTGGCTAATGCTGAAGAGGCTATGTTCACCAACAGGTATGTAGGCTGAGAATACTTATGGGGGTGATTTGAAAAACCCAAGCTGAATCGACAGAATTTGAGAGCATCATGTTGTAAGCAGCTCTCTTTGGAATGATGTGATTATTTCGTAGCTTTTTATTTCTTTGAGTTTTGTAACTGTTGAGTTTCATGGAAAATACAAAGCTTTCGATATGAGATAATTTTGCAGCTACTGTAATCTGGGTACTTGCTGTTGCTGATGCAAGTTTACTCCTCTCATCTCAATCTATTCTCATCTTTGGCTACTTGGTGGAGGAGGATTAAGATTCAGGTTTTCTACATTCTCTCCAAATGATGTTAATGATATGAATTCTTTCTCAACGTTCTTTCATTTGCCCCTTCCACTTTGCTGCAACCTTGGACCTATGATTCAGCTTTGTTGAGCTCCATTTCAGTCTTGGTAATTGCTTAAACTCTTTAGATAGGGGCAATTGGTTCACGTTGCTGCTTTTTTTTTTTTTTTTTTGTTAGTTGGTTCTTAGATTCATGAGCAAGTTCTGAATTAAAGCTGTAAATTGGTAAATACTTGGAAGTGCTTGGGAGTTTAATGAAACTGGTTGCTGCAAATGGTTAAAATATGAGCTTTTGGGTTCTACTGTAACTTTCATTCCAACATTTTCATTTATTGTGTGTTTGCCTAATCTGAATCCAGTTCACTATTTGATCAATTTTCTAAACAAGGATGTGCTATATGCTTATGTACCGATTTTTCAAGAATAGGGAAACACAAACTTCTTACTGCTGTGAATCTGCTCTACAGTGTTCTCCCTGCACATTCTTCACCATGCATGTTTTCTCAACAAAAGCCAATAGGGAAACACAAACTTGCTTGGTGCATTAACCTTTCATGATTTATGAAAGAAAATTAGAAGTTCTTGAGTTTCAATTTGATGAAATCGGTAAGTATGTGATTGTTGTGTTAATATTCAGCTCAGTTATTGTTGATGTGTTGTTTTAATTTGACTTTTGATTAAAACATTTGAAAGGTTAGGAGGAATGGTCGCAGAGAGGGTGGATGAACAACAATCGAACAATAGGAAAACAATATGTGCCCACAATCAACGGCAGGTGCACTTCTTTAACCTATTTTTGCTTTGGTGTCCATATGAAATTCAAGGTTTATTAGGGTTTTTTCTTTATCCCAATTTTGTAGCTTCTTTTTGCTTTCTATTGTTGTTATGTCGGGTTCAGGTTCAAGTCATCCAACATGTGTCGATTAAGAAAAAAGATGCTTTTAATAGCTCTCTTGAAATTGTTCAAGGTCAGCTAATTTACTTCACTTGCTGGAAAGGGTTGTCGACTGCTTCATGCTACTAACAATTTGAGTTATTTATGTTTGCTTTGTAACAGATAAGCCGTTGGCAGCAGTCTACTCTCTAATTGCAGCTCCAAAGCAACTCAAGCGAGAGATAAAGAGGAAGACATGATCGACATGAGTAGGTATTTCATGTTTGATAGTTTCCATTTTGGTTTGGTTGCACTTGCTTTGAGTTTTTCATTCCTTCCCTTAATGTTAGCTTTTGGGATCTTTTCTCCAATTTTACCAGTTTGATTTATAATGCAGCTGTTCTAAGCAACTTCTCTATTCACAGAAAAGTGGTATGCGTGAATCTCTTTTAACCGCAGCTCCAAAACAACTCAAGCGAGAGATAAAGAGGCATACATGATCGACACAACAGGTATTTCATATTTGATGGTTTCCATTTTGGTTTGGTTGCACTTGCTTTGAGTTTTTTCCTTCCTTTCCTTGAGGGGCTTTCTCTCCAATTTTACCAGTTTGATTCACTCTGCTTCCTTCTTTGCCAATTCCATTTGGCATGCAGAGTAGATTCATTTTTAATTGTAGATTCACTCTCTCAACATATGTAGCGGGCAGTTGCGGCCATTTGAAGGCGTCGAGACGACATCGGCAGTCAAGGGGTAATGTTGGGTAACAAAGAGAACTGAATGGAATTTTGGCTGGGGAAACCATTTGTCATTTGGCCCTTGCAGGTTTTTACCTGTTGATCCTTTTTGTCTTGCTGATTATGTGTACAAATCTAGGGTATGCTTACTTTAAACTGCTCGCTGAACATATATAGTTGGTCTTGCTTGCACTTTTGGCGAGATTGCAAATGTTATTTGCTGTTTAGTTAGCTTCATTTATCTAATTTGAGAAGCTCTATGACGTGCCAACTATTTTTCATTAAAGGAGAAGATTCATTCATCAATCAATCCCAATGCCTTTTGGAAGGAGAACGACAAGAGGTAAGCAGTCTGAGCACTCTAAAACGGTTCTGCCTGAGTTCATGAGAGTTGGGAAGAAGACTACTGCATGGAGTTTGAATTTGGTGCAGTTTTAAAGTTAGGCCTTGCTTTGATTTTGTTTGCAGCAACTAGCGAGGAAGTGTTCATCATTATCAAATGTATCTTCGTAAATGAACTTAGTAGCCAAGCAAACTAATTGAGCTCTTGACGATGTGGTTTGGAGAGAGCGAAGCTAATGTCAGGGAAATCTTTCACAATGGTGGACAGGCTGCACCATGTGTCCTTAACTCGGGTATAGTTTCTTTGTCCCTTTGAATTTCCTGTTGGACATTAATTGTGTCATGTTGTTCTATTTTAATCTCATTTTAATTGTGTACCATTGCAGAGAGGAGAGAGGAGGCAGTGTTGGAGATATAGATCCTAATGTTGTCACTATAGCTGCTGCTGGGCTTGCTCTTGCTGACGAATGAGTACAAGTGAGAAGGAGGAGTATATTATTTTTCCTGCTGTTGGACTAACGTCTAACTGAACCAGGAGTGTTTAAATTAAGATAATATGTGGGTTAGACTTTCAGTATTTGCTATGATCTTTTAGTTAGTTTGATTCATCTGCTAAGAGTTGTGTTATTTTGTGGACTCTAGAAGGGAAGAGCTGGTTCTCTTCATTAAGCATTGATTTATATAAATGACTAAGATTTCTTTTAATACCATAGTGACAGATTGAGAGTTCACCTCTTATTCGTTTACTTCCACTATTGTAATTTTCTTTAGGATGAAGAGAACTATAGTGAGTTCCTCCTACATATTTATAAAATTACTTTAGTTTTGTTGGGTATGGATAGATGATGAATTGATAACATCTTCTCTTTTGTAAAAGGATTGCTCGAATTTTATCAAAAGGGATATGGATTGATTTTATGTACGAAATAATGATTCTCATCTGTAAACAAGTATGTATTTGCCTCTTTGGGATAGGTTTGATATAGAACTTACAAAGCTAATGAATAGTTTAGATGGACTTTAAGGTAACTCTTTTGAACTTATGTTTTGTAAATAACATTATGAGATGATTGTAGATTGTCTTGCATAACAAGAAATCTATTGAACAAAAAATTACTTGCTTTATAATTTCTAATTATTTTCTTTATAAATATACTACTTTTGAAGATGTCAATTGTGCCTAAATGTCCCGCGGCGTAGCCGTGGGTATTGATTCTAGTGTTTTATTGAAGAGAGGGGCACGGTAACAAACCATGAACATAACATGGAAACTGTTCAAACTTCAAAGCAAACCCCCCATAAGAAAGACAAACATCAAACATAAAGGCTTAAACATCAACATCAAGCAAGACACCACGCGATGATTTGATCTTACAATGGAGCAGACAGACCGAATTTATTCTTTATTTCATAAACATAGCAACACAAAAGAGACTTCATCATAACCTTAAACCAACAAAGTAAATTGAGAAAAGCTGTAGTCGATATGAGTGACAGAAGCTTAAAAACATCTGATGAAAGAGATTGCAGTCCAGCAGAAACCCAGAACAAAGAAACGATCGTCTAAACATGGCGATATTTAGATAGAGAGAGTCCCACTAGTTGAGACTCACAAACTAAGAACTGTCTTTTTTAACTTTTGGATGAGGGGAAACTGTGTGGCTTTCTGGTGACTGTAAAGGGGAAACAATGGCTATGATCTATGGAAGGAGTAGGGGTGCCATAAACAGACTTGGTATAAGCCTGCAAAAAAGAGGGCAGATGATGATGGGTGTGAGGAAAAAAGGAGTGATGATCTTAGCCACAGCTTCCCCTGTGAAACAACCAAAAAGCCTGTGGTTTGTTTTTCTTTTTCGGGTTTGGCTTGGTTTAGTAGCTAGGCCTATTCTGCTCTGGGTTAGCAGATTAGGCCAAAAACACGACCAAAAACTTTGCTGGATTCTGCTGCTGCTGCTGCTGGCTGCTGTGCTGACTGTGATCTACGAATCTACGACGAAACTGAAACGCGAACATACTGTGCTTCTCTCGATCTAGGACAGGATATCACATCTCCACAAGCTCTCCACTAAAACCTCGACTGTCTTGCTGCTGATGCCGTTGCAGTGCTGTAGGTTCAACCCAACAAGAGTCCTCCCAATTCTCTTCAAACAAGTCAGTACCTTGCTTGACAAGTAACAGCAGCCGGACAACGAAAGCACCTGAATGTTGAGCTGATTGGCATTTGATAGGTACCCAATTCCTGCATCTGTAATCGCACACCTGGACACGTCGAGATCGCTGAGGAACATACAGTGCTCCGCGATTGCAGCCAAGCTGGCGTCGGTGACCCTCCTGCAGCCGTCGAGGTTCAACACCTCGAGTGATCCACCGTGTAGCCTGGCCAAGGTCGAGACCACTTCGTCGGACAAGCTCGAGCAGTCGCTGAGGTTGACCTTCTCTAGACAGGCGTTGCAGCTCCTCAGCAGCGGGAGAAGCCCTTCGTCAGTCACTCCATGAAGCCCGGACAGTTCGAGTTGCTGGAGTCGAGGGCAGAGGTTGCCTACAAGAGCTAATCCGAGACTGCCGAACCCTGGGCAGTTCTTGATGGAGAGAGAGCGGAGTGAGCTGCATTGAGACAATGATGATAGTGAGAGCCCTGCTGTAGTATCCTTGATTCCCATGCACCTCACTAGGCTGAGTGATTTCAACTTGGCTCCACAGTTTGAGATTGCGCCGATGATTCCTGATTCTGTAACTCGATTGCACTCTTCCAGCTGCAAGCTCTCGAGACAGCCTGCTGATCTGGTGAAACTCATCAACCCATTATCTGACACGAACGAACACTTGCGGAGGCAAATTTGTTTCAGGTTCGGGCAGCCCTTTGAGATGGCTTCCAGGCCGAGATCTGTTGTCCCCCTGCAAGAAGTGATCACCAAAGAAGCCAACTTTTCCAGTCCTTTAGCACTGCCCATGACCCAAAACCCCTTCTCGCTGACAAATTGGAGGCCAGTGAGGACCAGACTGGTGATAGACTTGCCGTAGTATCCAACTACTGCGAGAGAGAGATCTGTGATGTTTAAAGACTGAAGCTTGACCTTTGATATTGCTGTAGACGACGAGAATAGAGCTGATAGACCCTGGTCGCCAATGAGAGGGCAGTCCTTGATGGATAAAGATTGGAGCTTGGGACAAAACTTCGCAACAGCTTGTAGCCCGGCATTGCCAATCCTCGAGCAAGATTCGATGCTCAAAGATGACAAATTGGGGCAGCTTCCAGCGATTGCAGCCAAACCCTCATCGGTAATTGAAGGACAATGGCAAAGGTCGAGCTTTTCAATTGAATGGCACTCCTTTGCTATAGCAGACAACCCTTTGTCACTAACCCGAGGCACATTCCATAAAGAGAGTGTTCTGAGAGAAGGGCAGCCGCGAGCTATTGCTGATAGACCAAGATCAGTGACTCCATGACCAGAGGAGCTGCTGTTTCCGCGAATGCAAAGCTTGCCAAGACCTCCCCGGCTGCTTGTCCCCACAGCAATGGCAGCAAGTCTCAAGTCGGTTGCTTTCTTCCCTTCCAATGACCTTGTGAGACACCCATCGAGCTCCTCCACGCTTTCACCGCTCGCCATCTCCACATCGCCGCAACACGAGACCGGCTTGCAGATTTCGGATCTCCTGATGCTGCTCAACACCATGAGCCACTTCTTGGACACTGAAGCGCACGCGCCCCTCTCTTTGCCACCGGGGATTCGCCTGAGGATCTCGAAGAGACACTCTTCTGGGAGGACTTCGATTGATGGCTGCCTATTGCTTTCCTCGGAATTGAACGCAAATGAGGAGCTAGTCCGAGCCCTCTTGCAGGCAGGGCTGTACACATCTCTAGCAATTGAACACAACTGTGCCAATTCCATGGGGTTTGAACGAAGTGAATACATCTCCCCGTCGCCTGAAAAAAAAAACCCCAAACAAACAACAACCCAGAACAAAATCAGCTCAAACTTCTCATTGGGGCATTTCAACAAACACAAGAATGCAAAAATAAATCAGACAGCTGAAATCCCCAATTTTTCTCAATACCCATCAAAGCTATCATCAATCAGATTCAGAAAATCAAAACAAATGATCAAGCAATAAAAAAAAAAACCAATTAGAGAAAAGAGCCCAGAAAAGAAATAACTCACCATTACTGTAGTTAACAAGAGCAGGCATGTTTGAACAATCCCAGAAACCCGAAAGAAGAAGAAGAAGATTCCTTGAAGAAGAATGAAACCACCGCAAAAACTTGAGAAAATCAACACCAGGATCAAAGAACCCAGAAAGCCTGAATGCATTCGAAAAATGAAAAGCCGACAACTTGAAACCCCCTCTTCAAGAAGGGGGCAAAAAAAGGAAGAAGAGAAAGAACGAACACAGAGAGAAAGGGAGAGGAAGAAGAAGGAAGAATGAAGCTTTGGTACTCTGTTTCGAAAGAAGAATTTTTTCCCACAACTTTTTGGGTCATTTGGATCCAGGTTTTTAATTTGTGGGATTTTGGCTCAAATCACTGGTTTAAAAACCTAGGTTTTTAATTTGTGGGATTTGTGTGGGATTTTAAAATAGCTGATCACCATCAGCTATTTCATAATCCCACAATTGTGGGTTTTTGAAATCTCTAATATTTAAAATCTCTCATCATATAATTGCTTTCCAAACAAGTGATTTTAATAAAATCCCACATTATGTAGGATTGTGCCCAAATCCCACACCCAAAACCTGCATCCAAATGACCCCTTTAAAGCAAACGCAATCATCGAAATGTATTTATATATCACAGAGGGAAATTAAACAAAAAGGAAAGAAAGAGAAAAATTCTGTGTGTGCTTACAGAGACAGCGATTGATGCAATGGCTCTACTCAGCTTGGCTTTCATGCATTGAATCCTTCCATGAACCTGAATATTTTATTCATCCGGTCCAACCGTCCCGCCCCAATTTGCTCTATGGCTAGCTAACTCCTTTTACTAATTCTTTTCTTTGTAGTACATTATAAATTTTCATATGCATATTGTGATTATATATAAGAGGTGATTAGAGATTGGTGATTAAGTTTCAAAGGTAATAGATTGATTAGATTCTTGCATAATGGGCAATACTGATTTTAGGTAATATATATTTTTATTTTAATTAGTGTTTTGCTTAAATGCGATAAAGCCGGGCTCGATAAACCTTGTGTACAATTGAATTGAGATTTACTTGGCATAAATACGAATCGAGAATTGAATTAAGAAGATATGGATTACTATGGCTTAGTGAATACTTGTGAGATAGCATTCACACGAAGTAAGTTTTGATATTCTGGATAAACCTTGTGACTTGTTGACTTGATACTAAAAATGCGTAGATTTTCTTGCTATAAGTACGAATGAGAAATTAAATAAAAACTGATAATAAAATTAATATGGTTTAGGGAATATATAAAATATCATTCTCGAGTAATGCATTAATTTTTATTACAATTTGTAATTTGTCAATTCCTGATACACATTGTGACCTTCATGACAATGCCTGGTCGGATGAACCTTGTGACCAGTTGATACCAAGAGTGCGTCGATCTTGCTATAAATAAAAATCAAGAATTGAATTCAAACGATATGGTTTAGATAATACTAGGAGATAGCATTAGCACTATACTAGTTTTGATATTCTAGACAAGTCTTGTTACCTGTTGATACCAAAAGTGCGTCGATGTTCTTGCTATAAGTATTATTCAACAGTTAGTTAAAAATGATAGTGAATGAGTATGGTTATGTGGAATATTGGAAAAATATTATTCCAGAGTAATACATTATTTTTAATTACAATATTTACATTAGTCCTCGATAGACCTCGTGACCCGTCAATATCTCAAAATGTTGAAATTTTATTAACGTATTATTGGTTTAAACATATAATAGGAACTAAATTCAAAAGATAATATATCTTTATATGGTTTATCAAATATTGAGCGTATGGTTTACGAGTAATACGCTAAATTTTTTACAGTTGATACTTTTCGAACTCATGATAGACCTTGTAACCTGTCAATACTTAAAGTGCACAAATTTCCTGAATACATCATGTCATAATTTTCTCATTCTAATTTTAACCCCATAATCTGAATTGAAAAGATAATAAGCACATTAACATGACATTTCTAATAGCAAACCGTATATCCCTCCAACATTTTCGGAAAATGTATTAAATCGGTAGAAACACGTGTACTCGATTACAACAGATAGCTCACCAATCCTACCGATGAAAGAGAGTGTGACTTGTCAATAACATTAAATTAGAACCTTCCCATCTTAAAACATAAAAGTATGTACATTTTTTTCTAAGTAAATCAAGCCACAACTTTCTGAAAATAGCTAGCCAATGGAATTTTGGTTCCTAGTGTGCACAATAAATCAAACCATTCAATTTACATGGTATTGGTGGTGGGGGGTTGAATTTGGAAGTCTGACAAATAAGAACTTTTGCAAGTTGATTGAGCAAGTAGTGTGGTACATGGATGGACCAGAGCAGCAGAAAAAAATGGGTTGGCTGCTGGCTAGTGGGTTAAGCCAGGTGCATGAATGAATCAATGAATGTGCATTATGTTTGGTTGGCTCTGGGTTGGGTGGACCTGGCTAATTTTGGTTCGAGTGAGTTGTTTCCATAAGTTAATATATTTGATTATAGTAATGGCAATTGGGGCAATTGGGAAGAGGGCCTTAGGGATTTGGGGGGCAGAATTAGTACTAATTAATCCATAATTTTGGATGAACTTGTGCCAGCTGCTCTTCGTGTTCTGTTTTTATAATTTGCTAATCCAAGTAATTAAACCAATTACCTACCCCTTTTGGGGTCTGGATTTGGTTTAGACTTTGTGCCGTTCTATTTTTTAAAACAACAGATTTGTGGCAATTTGATGGGCTTGTATTAATTATTGTATTTAGTTTGATTAAGTGTCCACTGATTGCGATCATGATGTAATTAGGGTTGATGTTTTCATGAGGAGCAGGAATGTTTATAATGGAGTTTGGGTAGGAATAGAAGTTTTTTTTTGTCCAGATGACTTAAGTGGTCTCACCTGTCTTTGACAAGTTGTTGGTTTAAAATTCTATTATCGATGGGGATGAATAATCGAAGATTTCAACTAGAGGAGACTAATTTTGAATTCGCCTTCTTCCTTTGTTTTTCTTTTGTGCCGGATTATGCATTTTTTTTTAGATTGAACTATGCATTTGAGTACTTGTAAATCACATAATTAATCTCAATTACATCAAAACATACAATCGCATATACATAGGATGGCAAGTATGTGAAAATTCCCTCAAATTATAATGGGCAAACTTCATTTACAAACGCAATAAACAAAACGTATCTACCATATCATTATCATCGCTAGTGGGTATGTCATAATTGCTAATAAGTGCATGAAACAACTTCTAGATGGTCCTTCATGTTAATGTTGTCTTTAGTGTTAGTCAATGAAGTAATTAACATGATCCTTAGAGTTTTCTACACTAATTAAACACAAATTAAGTTACATCTGTAAAGAGGAATTTCCAATCGTTCATTGATTAGCACGATTAAGTAATATATAGGGCCGATTAATCGTACGAGTCAGTTGAATATCACCCACTTACTCCATCCACCTGGTAAATGGGATTGCCATAATGAAGTATTACGTCACACCAATTGGTCATAGGATGGATAAGAAGAATTTTATCAAACTAATTCATCCATATGGTAGTGGATTGTAGTGGAAGTGAAACATTACCCATCTATATACCAAGATTGCAAGTGTCACTTACGACTCGTGCACAACTCATCTAATCTTCCAGTTGGTTAACTAATTTAATTGAGGACTCCGAACCCATCTACTAAAGTCACCACCCATCATTTTAACTAGTCTTCTCCAAGTAACTCGATTAAACCCACAAGTCACCCACTCTACTGACCAATCTTGCAATATCATGAATTTCAAGTTGTAATTAGGAAAGCTTCCCCAAGAACATTACATAACTAACTTATAGTTCATGTTAAAGTAATTCTCTATGGATGAACCAATGAAGAAGTCAAACCAATACCTTCTTCAGGGTTTCCATTACTAGTCCTTCTTTCACCAATCTCCATAGGTCAAAATTTTTGGTTCCTTCCCCACACAACAATGCATAAAGTTTCCATCTTTGATCTTCCTACCAAGAGACAGCGAAATTTCTCTGCGGTTTTCACTTCTTTAATGTTTTGTTTGGGAAATTTTTGGATCAATCTTGGTTTGCAATTTACGACATTGACTACATCTTTAGGAAAGGGAAAATGGGTCTTTGAAAGGTGTAGAGAGAGAGAGAGAGAGGTTCATTGTTTGCCACTTTGGTTCACTTGTCTTGGACAAATTGGTGATGTGATGTAAAATATGTACACTGCATTGAGCAATTTTGTTTTTTCCTTTGTAGGGTCACATAATATTCCTTCTTCATTCCTATCACTCCATTTTTGTTTCTTCTTCAACTTGTTGCCTTAAGGGCCCATGCCCTCTCAAAAGGGTTGAAAATATGGGATGACAATTTGGTTTTCATCATAAGAAATGGATTTGATGTGGGTTTGGGTTAGGATCAATGCATCTTATAATGTTCATGTTGAATTCATCTCCAGATGGGATTTAGGAAATTTGATAGGTAGAGTCGTTGGGATGTGTGATTTGACTTGTAAAATTTGATTTCGTATCTTTTAAATTGAAAAAATTGACATCTTTTTTGTTTGTTTCATTCAGAGAATCCGACCGTTCTTTTAATTGAAGAATTATTTCATGAATTGAAAGAATTACAAATCAATTCGTAAACTAGTTGACTCGATATATCTTAGATTTATTTGAACTGAATTAATCTGTGTGTTCTTATTCTTTCTTAGATAACAGAAATTATCCTTAACAAATACGATAACCTTTTTTGTTTTGTAAACATGGTAATCTTTTGGGGCGAAAAATTAAAAAGATTGAGAAGTCATCATTTGTTAAATAAAAAAATATGTGTTTGTTTGTAGCTAGTCATTATTTGATGAAGATGAGAACACAACAAAATATTTGGGACAAAAAAGAGGTTGAAAAAAATCGAAGAGGAGTAGAAGAAAATTTACGAGGATAGTTTGGAGAATACAGAACTAAAAGGAAAATAACATGTACGTCAAGTCGTCAACCTCCAAGTTAAAAAGAAGTGAGCATATACTAATACATTTCTCAATCAAACAAACTCTCGAGAAAAGTTCGTTCACTTCAAATCAAACAAACAAAAGATACCATCTCTAAATCTCTCGCACACCACAAATTTCACCCAATTATATCTCCATGTTATCGAAATTCACATATTTACAAGTCATGCCTCCAAACAACCAACCCCTTATTTGCATCCCATTGAAGAAAAAAAACATGATCTCAAAACTTCCTTCACAGGACAGACAATCCAACTTATATGTTTGAAACTGATGATTTGACTTTCCATCTGGAAGGTGGTTGTTTTGTTCTTTAACTTCATGTTAAAATTCATCCTTAGAAACAATTAAACAAACACCCTTGATTCCCTTATCAAAATAAATAAACACCCTTGATTCCTTACAAAGTAACCATATTCTTTAGTAATAAGTTAGGCCGTCTTCTAGATTTAAAAAAAGTTAATTACTTTACTTGTGGTTGTGGTAATAACTACAAAATTAGGTCAAAATCCCAACAGAAACAGCTGCCCATTTTGGTCCCCGACAAGATTACCAGCCTTAGCTATAGGCTACTTCACGTAACCTTATTTCTTACTTCATGAATTGTTAACTCCTAGTTCCAAATTGTAGTAGTTTAATCCAGAAATGCATGAACATTTGAGTTAGACATTGAAATGGGTCGATTTATTGGACAATTTGACCCAATTGGCATGATCCATATGCGTAATGGGATGGATCCAGATAAACTCATATGTACTTTCTATGAATTTGGATTTGGGTTAGACTTTCAATCACGTCCTGTTTGGACCAATTTATTTGGGATAGACCCAAACGGATCTAGATGATTGTATACATAGAAAACAATATCAACCATTTCATTAATTACATTCAACCCAAGTATACACCTTCAATGTATGCCTGTTTCCACCTTTGTACTTGTTTCTTAACAAAAATTACGACAAAAATTACATTACAATTGTGTCCCCATTTTCTTTTGGACTTACAATATTATTAGTTCAATTTAGACTCAAACTAAAAAGTCAAGCATAATTTAAAAAAAAAATACACAAATTTAATTCGGCTTGAATATTGAGTTTTTTTTTTTTTTTTTTTGTCGTTCCTAATTTTCACGAAGAGAGGGTCGGTCACGTGCATGATTGTTGTCGTTTTAATCAAGTGTACAGGAAGCTATCAAATGAAACACGATTACGTGGTCGACATTTGGGACGAAATAATTAAAAGGGAATCGGTTGGTTAGGTGAATGAATTTGTGATTGAGAATGTGAAAAAAAAAGGGGATCATGTTCATGGAATCCTAATTAAACGCTTTGGTCCCCATTGATCCACTTTTTCTTTTCATGTAGGTTAGTGTTGTATGGACTACGGATGTCGACTTAACTGTCTTAATTATAATTATCTGTTATTAGTAGAGACTAATCTACATTTCTCTCGAGAATTGTATAAGGTTGTTATATGGATATCTTCTCTCGAGAATCCAGTAAGGAAGGGATATAAGATCTATACATTGATATTGCTTAGCAGTTTGAGTTGTTGAGATTGGTTGGTTTATGATGTGGTATTAGAATTAGTTTGGTCGCGAAATTTCGTGTTCATATTTTCTCTGACTCCAATATTAACAGATGATTTAAAGTTCATGACATGATAGGTCTGTGTAAATTTCAAACCCACGTGTCGGCTTTTAACGGGGGAGTACTTGGTTTATGATAAATTGAGTTAAATCTCGGGGGAACTAATTCCATAGCTAGTTTATCGAATGATATTAGAGTTGTTGATTCAGAGTTGACCATCAACATATAATCGTCGCTCTAACCGAAAAACCAGAATCGTCGTAATAATTTTTCGAAATGAGAATACTAGTAATCGGCCTTCCATCGATCTAACCGAGAAAACCAGTACTGCGACTTGTATATATCTGATTCGTGTCTTCTTTTTGGGCCTCAAATTTTCTTCAAAGAACGTGTCTTGGAAAGAGCTATAAATAAAGATCCAGCCTAATATATGGAACGAGGTAGTTGGTAACAATATTGTAAGGTAATATCAGTAATAACTAATAACAGGCCATGCATGATAACAAAAGCCAAAGAAAACAAACCAAGAAGATTTTGTGGGTGTTGGGAATAGAGGAAGATCAAAGAGATACGATCGAACCGAAACCAAATCACGGCACCCGTGTAAAAAATAAACAGTGCTATCGGGATTCTTCAACCAAATCCCCCCCAAGCAAGCAAAAAACAATATAATAATATTCGATTTCGTTGGGCCAACCAAGATTGATTTGGTTTCTGGTCGTGCAGCTCGCTGTAGGAATTGACCCAGTCGAGCTGGCAAAGAAACCGGCCGGAAAAAGATTTCGATCCATAGTGCCAAACATCAAATTCGATTTTGATACTCTTTCAAGTTCAAGAGGGAAGGCGAAATTGTTGTTCTACTACACAGTTTTTTCAGAGTGGATTTGTAAAGATAGCTCTGAGATATGAATTAAGGTGGTTTTGATGGAACCCATATCCATTCATATTGATAAAGAGAGTTTTAAAGTATGTGATGCTTGTAATTAACATGTTAGAAGCACATAAATTGAAGCTAGATCTAGCCGATTTCAAAACGACTGGGATTCTAAGCAGCGAGGGATTTCTGGGTTTCTGGGTTGCGATGAAGAAGAGATCAGAAGAGGGTTAGGACTAAATTGTAGTTTCATTTTTTATGATTGAAACTCTATAATTATAAACAAACAGGTTATTCGGCTCGAATTCTCATACAAATTGTTTGTGTTTTTTAAAACGAGAAATTTGGCCCAAAATCTTTCATTACCAAAATTAAAATATTACACTTTTATGTATATATATGTATGTATAGCCTCCACATTTATACACATTCATGACTCAAAACGGCAGAATTATAATATTACACTTTTAGAAAAATGCTGAATAAAATTAAATGATTGGATAGAGATATATTATATATATTTTAGAAGCAGAATTTTCAGGGACAAAATGTCTAGACTATTGCCTTCTTTCTCTGCATTCTGATGGATCTATTTGAGACACGTGCAGCTAACGTGAATTTGTTGGGGCTCTGCCCAGATCTCTAATTTTAAATATTTAATCTCAATTAGTTAATTATGGTTAACTCTACTACATTATATATTAAAATTGTCTTCTCTGTGACATCATAAAATGCCTTAATTAATTTACCGACTAGTCTACGAACAATAAAGAATGCAATGGTGCTGGTCAAAATTTGCAACGCCGGCCGGAGCTCTACACCTGTCTTCACTACCTGTATTTCGACTGACGGTAATCGTTATTTATGTGATTATACATTGACAAGATCGAACATATATACAATATTAACGTACGTAGTATATATACTTATCGAACCCAACATTTTTCATTCACCATGATGTTTTTTTTAGTTTCGATTGACTCGTATCATATCGATCCAACATTTTACGAACAGTATTGCCCATTAGGGAAGTGGCTTCTGATCTTAGACATTAGAGAATGGAGTTTCGCATTCCGGGGGAACGAACAATATTTGCTCATAAATTGGCTCATTTTTGTAATGGATAGTGAAGAAATTGTAGTTTGGGAACATTGTTTTACCCGCAGTGGTAGCTGATGTTGTAGCCCATGAGGCATTCTCTACTTGATTTCAATGAAATTACATTGGTTTACCCTAAAGAAGAAGAAAAAAACTGTCTTCCTCCTACAACAATGTCACAATTCTCGAGAGTAAACAATTAGTTAAATACCATGTTGACCTGAACACCATCCCTTTTTATCCCACTAGTTTGCCGTAATTCAAACCCGGGACACTATTATTATTAATAAATATAATTTTTCATTAGGCTACAACTTTTTTGTTGTTCTATTCTAAACACTATGTAATAAAAAACCCCAAAATTTTGTTATCTTTAATTATTTTCGAAACCTAACAATTAATCTAATTACAAACTACCCTTAATTTTTATTAATTTTATGGTTGTACGAAAAATGTTGAAAGTGTTTTTTCCAGGTTGAGTTACATCAATAACAAATTTATAAGTCCAATATGCTTCAGTTCGTGAATGATTGCCTTGTAGGATATACCGAGACAAATTTGTTGAGCTGTGTTCGTATTTTGCAATTTTTTTCCAGAATATGAGTGAGTATTTTCTTATTTAAAAATTAATTTTTTTATTTTACTTTATTTTTGCTTCTCTCAAGAGACCACCCCTGGGGTTTGATAATGATCTGCAGTCCCCCCGACGCCCAGTCAGCGTAATTCTGCCGGTTCAGCAATCAAAACATAAGCGAGATGGGAGATAGGATTAGAAAACCAGACCACAAACAGAAATGGAGCGAATATATAGTTGTACAGTGTCTGCATCTCAACTTCTTCTTCTTCTTCCCGGTTAAGTTCAGCTCAAAAAGAGCAAAGGCTTGCAAACATAACAAAATTCTCAAGCAAATAGCCAAAAGACGAGAGACATGTACCAGCTTTCCTAGCTTACTCATTTTCATCAAAAATTAGATTGAGCAGAGGTAAGTAGCCGTTATTGAGGGAGTCACTGGTCCAAGTACTGAGGGAGTTTTCGATGCAGCTCTCAACGAACCCAAAAGCTTCACATTCCTCCTCCGAATACAACTCGAGCAATTCCTCGTACCTTGGAATTACAGTAGGCCAGCAAGGGGCCTTCGACACGAAGACCGCCCAACGAGGAGCATCCACTCTTAGTTCAGAGTAAAACTCTAGCTCGCCACCCCTCCTCAAATCGCAGGACAAGATAGCGGCGGCTTCCCCAGATTCACAAGGAAAATGATGAAAGAAGACAATCTCTGGCTTCTCTGGATGCAGAAAAGAATAACGGATGCTCTCGAGTTCATAGTTACACCTCGATGTCTCGAGCAACCCTGGGCTTTCCAATGCATCTAGGAATGGAGCATCATTAACACCAAGGTCATAGTTACGAAACCTTGATATGTCGCAACTTGATGCCTTCAACACCCCTTCACATACTTTCCTCCAAGAACACCGGTCTCGTTCCAATCTCCACACGCTCGAGGCGATCCCCCTCGAACAACCAGGTTCGGGTTCTTCCTCGAGTACAAATACGTGCAAGGCACCATTCGAGACGGAAATATCCCACCACGGATTCGCAAAGAGAGGCGAGGCATCGATACAAGTGGGAGGCACGTCCAGCCGGAAAGGATCGAACACAGCAAGCCTTGGATTATACAAGCCAGCTTCTTCTTCCTCTTGGGTGTCAAGGTAGCACCAAAACAACTCCCCATTGCAACACACTGCATTTCTCAAATGGAACCTGAGATGGGCATCAACAGAGACAGCCTCCTTCATCCATTCTCTACGCTCGGAACAGAACACGTCCATCTTCAGAGTATTCAGATGGTTGTACATACACACCACCCGGAATCGACACTCGGAATACACAGACACCTGCCCATCCCCAAGATCTAGACAATTCGAAACACGGGGTTCGCAAACTAACCTCGCAACCAATCTCGAGCTCCCAGTCGGCCACAGAGGCTGCAGAGGAAGCCGGAGCCATTGCTTCGTGAACGGATTGCAGACAATGTACGATCTGTACACTTTAATGGCGTCTTCACGAGCATCCCCAGGAAAGCCGCACAAGAGCAAGTCACCGCAGGAATCCAAAACTACCAGACGCACTCCAGGAGGCGCGGGGACGAAGCTCTGGATGATGGATTCCGGGTCGTCTGAGGGAAGAAGCAGAGGCGGTCGCAGCTCGCTGATGCTCTGGTGGTGAGAAACGAAGCGGCGATTGAAGCTAGGGTTGGAGATCAGAGACCTCCAGCGCTTGCAGACGGCTTTGCTCAGGCAGGCGTATCTAGGGTTAGGGAGGCGAATCAAAACTTCTAAGAGGAGATCGTCCCCAAGTTGATTGATCATGGGGGAACGGACCCGCTGTTGCTTACTGGGTCGTGGCTCATAATCGGAATTGCAGATCTCGGTCGCCATGGCAACACCGCCGGAGGAGAGAAGATACGGTGGTTGTAGGTTTGTAGCAGACGACGAGCATTGGGGAAGAACATCTTATAAAGCCACTGACTAATCCTTCTTCTGTTCGGCTTAATTCATCTTACCACCAAAATATTAAATTTAATTCTTTTTTTACTTCATCTCCAGATGGGCTACATGGATTGGGCCCAGTGTTTGATGAAAGATGGGCTACATGAATAAGGCCCAGTGTTTATGAGAGAATACTCTGTTTCAAAAATATTAAATATGATCATTGGCCGGCCCAGGCCCATTACGGAAACTGGCGGATTAGAAATATCCAATCCTTATAGGATACGGATTCCGAATCCGAGCCGGAAACCGAAATTCCCCAAGACCAATTCGCCGTGATTCTTCTCTATAAATACAGCACCTTCGAAGTTTCACCAATCCATTCCCAGCCTTCACACAAATCAATTCCAATAGCAGAAGCAGAAGCCATGGCGATCGTCTACGACGACATCGAAGAAACTACGAATTCTACTCCAAGTGAGCAGCAGGAGAAGGAGGAGAACACCACTACTCTGCTTCCAAACTCTGCCAATGGGCTCGACATGGAGAAGTACTCCTGGGGGCAGAGCCTCCAGGAAGTAACCATCACCGCTCCGGTCCCTGCCGGAACCAAATCGAGGCAGATCACGTGCGAGATCAAGAAGAAGTCTCTGAAGCTCGGGCTCAAGGGCGAGCAGCCAGCTATGATCATCATCGAAGGCGAGCTGTTCGGTCAGGTGAAAGTTGGCGAATCATTCTGGCATCTGGAGGATCAGAAGACGGTGTCTGTTCTGCTGACGAAATCCGACGAGAGGAGGAACTGGTGGAAGTCGCTGGTGAAGGGAAGGGCCGGAGATTGATACCCAGAAGGTGGAGCCAGAGCCCAGCAGGCTGGGTGATTTGGATCCGGAGTTGAGGTCGACGGTGGAGAAGATGATGTTCGACCAGCGACAGAAGGAGATGGGCCGCCCCACGAGCGACGAGATTCAGCAGCAGGAGCTGCTGAAGAAGTTTGATTTCTCCAAGATGAAGAGGGTCGACAAGTTCAGCAATATGGCTTAAGAGCAGTTACTACTGTGTGTTTCTTGTGTTCTTCATTCTCCTTTTGATGTCTGTTTTTCAACTACTGTTGTGTTTTGCTCTTATCCTTCAACGAAGAATACATGCATCCATTAGAATACATCGATTTAACGACACAATTATCATCATTCACCGCTCTTCGTTATCTATCAGATGACATGAAGATTGATGAATTATAAAAGAAGAGTAATGCAGTTGTTTCAATGGCCACATTTACAAGATTTGTAAGGGAGAAAGAGAAGTTCTTGGTGGGAGTAGATTACCAAGTACCAAACACAGAGAAACGAATATCAACCAGCAAGATCAAACATTACAGAAACAATATTAAAGTGGGAAAAGGCTTGTTGCTTGCTAAGCCCTTTCCTTTTTCTCAATAACTTTCTTTTTTACCTTTTTACCTCTCAACTGTTTCTTATCAGAAACTATTTACACAAGTCTACTAGAGAAATGGGGACTGTTTAAGGGAGGGAAATACATGTACAATTCTGAAGCATCTCTAAACTTGAGCAGTTTTGTTCTTCATTCAGTCATACAAACCTTCTTGCTCCCATACATCGACTAGAAAATCTACCATTTCCTGAAACCGAAAAACAGAAGCGGAAAATGATTCTCGTTACAAGGAGAGATGCAGAAGAAAAAAAACTACTCAGGAGGTCAAGGACTTACAGAGAGCGGGACAGGCCGGGGAAAAGGGTTCCTGCTTCCAAGCAAGCTTTCATAAGTTGCATTCCAACTGGATATTAAATCAAGTATTAAGAACAGACAATGGAACGTGAATTTGAGAAGGTGGGGGTGGGGTTTCTTTCATTTGCTTTGAATACAAAAAGGGTAATTGCTAGCTACAGATGGAAGGAAACACATCATCTGTTGTAACACAGTCAATCCGAAAGCATCAAATCGTTCGGTACAATGATTTGAACAATGATGTTAGAAGACGGTTGGATGTGCAGGAAAAATAATGCATCAGCTTCTTCATAAAAAAAAAATAATAATAATGCATCAGCTTGGCCCTATTTTGCAGAAGCATCTAAATGATGTAGAGTACAATGATCACACAGCACATCACAGAGATGAAGACATTTGACGAATGATTCCAAAGAAAGTTGAACAACCACCAGTACCAACACGAGAATGGCAGCAATCAATAAAGTTTTACTAGAGTAGAAATAAGCAACTGTTTACAAAGTGGCATCTCAGTCAACATAAAGTTTCAGCTCCTAACATTTCCAAAAAAGCACAGACAAACTCTGATCAGCAACAAGGGAAAGGTTACCTCAACTGTGGTCCACTTGTTTGACGAGTTTGATTGCTGGTAGACTCACCACTCCCAGTCCATTGAAGCCTGCCCTGCTGCCACAGAAGCAGACCTGCACGCACGCATTCAATGAGCCGTAGTTAAGAGGTCTATGATTCAGAATTTTGACCAACACAGAAGAGTAATGGAAGTAAACTTGGAAGAGTGAAGTAAAACAAATTTGTAGTTAGTTACCATGATTCACAAAGTCTGTTGTACTGCCACTCATGGTGCCACCACTGCTGGTGTTGGGGTTTGAAGCACTGATAGAGGATACACATTTTTGAGATTGCATAGCACTATTATCTAGCTCACAGGTGCTGCTGCTCCAGAAATCTTCAGATATACTAGGCTTCTTCACTGCCCGGCCTTGTATCCTCAATCCTTTGGCTGGCTCGTCCACAGCGATTATCGGTGTGGGCTTCCCGCAGCATCCAAAACAACCACTGTTCTGTTCCAAACCAGGTTAGAAACCGAAACCAGTAACAGAAACCGTGTGGGAAGCAACTAGACCACTTGTAGAGGATTGAAATGTATAGAAGACAGAAAATTTCACATTCATTGAACTGGCTTCCTTTTGTTCCCAAACAAGCTTTGGTGGAGTGGCAAATAGTCAAATACCATATAATTAGAAGAAAGGAAAAGGAAATGGACAGATTGGTGTTTGATCAACTTCCATGTCATAGACAAAATGAAAAACAGATTTAAGGACACAATCAAAAGACCTAAATCAGATTGACCTCAAATAAACAAAACAGGTAAAGCATTCAATCTTGCCATCCAAAAATCAAGCCATCCCATTGACTTACATACACTCTAATGGAAAGTTGATGTCCCCTAGACATGACTTGAAGGCATTATTACACTATAGAGCCAACAATTCTCTACCTGTTTTCTTATGTACTGGTTGTGTTAGGAATTCCATCTCTATCAGGTGAGGAAATTTTCCAGTCCTTGGACGCCATTATTATATTTGCTTTACAACCACTACTACTTTAACCAATCCACCTATAAAGGCTATAAACACTTCAATGGCCAAGCAAATGACATGATCATTAAACAATTTATAATCTTTCATTAATTAGGGGGCAACTGGCAAGGAAAACAATAAAAATGAAAGAAAAATAATCTCTATCAGATTGAAATCAGCAATTTCAGCCTTTCTCCCGCAAAGATTGTCTCCCCTCTTGAAGCCAACTTTCCTAAACTAGAAAAACAAGTAAACAACAATTCTATTCCATCTCAACTCATGCTCCCAATACACAAACAAGGACCAAAAATTTCACCTGGATTCCAGAAATCCAAAACCCAGGAAACAAGGACCAAAAACTACATTTTTACTCAACCAAAAGAAAACTCAGAACAAACAGAAGAAGGAGAAAAGAAGAAAATGAAATCACTTACCCCATACAATCGAGAAAGTGACGGATCCAAGAGCAAGCAGAGGCGTTACTAAGTGTCACCATTTGATCAAGAAATCAACACCACGAGACAACCCAATCATCGAATCGGAACCGGGTACGAATTCAGGGGAAGGAAAAGCTGCAAAAAGGAATCGACTTTATGCTGAAATTGGAAATGGGTAGCGTTGATTTGTTGTTCTGTTCTCCACCATGGCAACCTGCTACTACTGGGTTCTTTCTGTCTGCAACTTTTGGGGAAGGCGCTGAGAGGGCGTGTGGGGAATGGAATGGTGGTGGTGGCTGCTCTGGCTAGAGATGAATGGGGAGTGGGTTTTGGAGCGAGTGATTGAAGTGAATCAAAAATCGTGAGGAAGAAGAAGAGGAAAAAGAGAGAAATGGGGGAAGTTAAGCAATTGATTAGTGAGGTGTCTGTAATGTGGGGATGCGCTTCGTGGGATTGGATTATTTGCCCTTTGCCAACCTATCCTATGCTCTTCACGCGCTTTCTTCTCTCGCGTGCATTTTGCTTGCTAAGGTGAGAAAATGGGTGGGTTGGATGAGTTTTAGGTAAAATTTTGCTTTATCTTGATGGTTCGTAGAGAGCGGAATGGATCATACTCATCGATATGTGATATTATCGAGTTGTTGTGAGTGGATGATAGTTTGTTTAACTGGTTGCGATGGTGTGTGCATGAACTCTTCGGAGCTAGCTTTCAATGATGACAGAGTATATAACGATGATGGTAGGTAAGATCATGGTATTTGTCGGATACCCACCTACCCCAACATTATCCAGACGTCATTTACTCGTTGGTTAGAGTATATCGTGATCGGTGATTCGTAAATTAAATATAGAGACTTCTTTATCATGTATCTTATGTGATTATATTTTCACAATGCTTTTTGGTAGAGGTTACATAGAAGCTAATTTCTAACACCTGCAAACAATGGCAATGCCAGCATTTGAAACGAGATAATAGATCACCATATTGCGCTACTTCGTACTGCTTATTGAACACATGCCTACGCTTTTACAAATAACGAAATATTTAATGAAGATTGTAATCTACTATTGAGTTACACATAGCTCCGTCACAACTTACAAAAGAGCTTACTAACCATAGGAGTTGTGACAAATTGAGTTGTTTATGAACAAGGGAAGGCCCGTTCCTAAAGTATAATGCATAGTTTAACTTTGATTCTGTCCAAAAGAGAATATGCATACTTTCCTTTCTATCAACAGAATCCAACAAAGAAATATTGTATAAACTCAAACCAAAGTGAAAAAGGAAGGAAAAAAAGAAGGGAGGCCATGGCCATGAGAATAAGGCAATAGGAAATTAAAGCAAAGACAAAGAGACATCAAAGGTGGTGTAGTGATGAATGATTATCATTATATCCTTTGAGAGAGACCTTCTTTTTCATTATCTCTTATCATCTTCTCATTTTTCTTTCACGAGGATGATGATTTTGACTCTATAATGACAATTTGATGCTGAGGAAAATTTTCTATTGGCAATTGGTCCAAGGGTAGAATAATGCATTGGTGGTAATAATTTGAGTGGTTGATGAACAAGTAAAATCAAATCTTTATATTATTTGCTTATATATCATCAAATGAGAGAGTCTAGTGAGCTTGAAGATTGTGTATGACTTATCATACATTGTACATCAGTCAAGCGAGAATATTGTGAGCTACTAGGTATAGTAACCAACTCATGTAACCAACTAATGACCTTCTGACCAAACACTTTGACATACCACATACTAGGTCGACAACCTATTAATACTCGAGGCGATTGAAGTGACTCGGAGAATGGATCTCGGTGACCTCTAGAACCCAACCACTACATCACTCAATCATCGACCATACCAGGGATTGTAGGAAGAAATGTTTATAGATATATATGACAATTTCGATCTGACACGTTTAACCCAACTTGTTTGATCTGTTTTGGAGAGAGTAATACCCACCCCGTAGGCAGGGTAGGGCAGACATGGGTGCTCTCCTTGATCCGACCTGCCCATTCTAGACCCCTTTTTTTACAAAATTACATGTAGTTTTACTCAAATTATCTCATGTTTTAGCTATAATAAAGTTGTAATATGTGTCTCTATTTCTTGAATAATTTAACTACTTTGATCATATTATAGTTTGTTTCTTGAAAATCAATGTCTAATGTTATTTTTTTAAATTGCATACCCATATAACCTGTCCCGACCCACGTTCTATAATAAATTATTCGAACCGAATCCGACCTATCTTACTCATACCCACTCCGACCTGCCCCATAATCATTCATACTTCGAGTCAAGATAAAAATGGATGATAACAGAGCAGAACCACTATGCCAAATTCATGAATAAGCATTAGGTTTTGGGGCCTCAATTATGCATGACAATTAATTTCGGCTGTGAATTGAGGGGCCCTCCTCACCTCACCTTATCTTCTTTGCTGTGTTCTCAATTCTAATTCAACCAATTTCTCACCAATAATGCTTTCTGGAAGGTGGAGAATCATTCATATTTCGCATTCCACACAGTTGCAACTTACTTTCGATTTCAGAAGCCACGGCGTGGCAAATTTCTAAAGGATCAAAATCCTTTCCATTGATTCCACCTGTTGACCAATGATTCAAACACGGTTCAAACTAGCCGAGCCCACATCAGTTATCGTCAAGACTGCAGCAGTCAGCCGTCGTTCAGATCATGTGCAACTAGGATTCTGCAGATTCAATTCCAGCTAAAACTGATCATATAACAATCTTATCATTTCACCTGCTTCAGTGCTTGAATATGATAACGAATCCATTATGCAGGATGACTGTAAAAGTATGGCTACATGTCTAACACCATCACATTCTCTTGATTCACACAACACCTCAGCCATAACTAGTCTCATAAGCATGAGCATACGAAGTAGAAAGTAGAGTTTCACTTCTCCGTCTTTCTTATCTCCCTCTCATAAGACTGTTGCACAGAAGAAAGGGCTGTGGCAGGATAAACAGCATAAAGAACTCCCCAGATTTCAGACTGAATCATGTTTCAGCAGGGTGAAGAAGTAAAGGAGGCTTTTAAGTATTGACATTACTAGTAGGCAATGCGCTTCCATTAGAACGACTGTTTCGGTATCTTATTTCGCTTGCCTGAAGAGGAGAGATGCAAGGCTCCCACTCCATCCAAATGCAACGGACTTCATTGTTGGCTCGTGCTTTTTAGATATGAGAGACGGCAGGCCAAGATTAGAGGGGATCTCTTTCGTTGCACTAGACCCTGCAGACCTGGCAAGAAGGTGGTCAAAGATGGTGTTAATGAGAATCACTTGGTAGATGATGTCTATGTATGTGATTAACATCAAGTGCCGTTGTGTTGTGTCAAACACTTCAGATAGTGCCCAAAAGGACAGGGCAAGGCATTCAGAGCATGGAATTATTCATTTCGGTATGTTTCTCTGTGAGGGCTGCAATCCATATCAGTTTAAGTACCACCTAATCCCTTACATTTGAAAACTTTGATCCAAGTCAAAGTTGCTTGATAGTGCATTACTAAAGTCCAACAGAGTTTTGGTAAAACAAAAACCCGACATCAAGAGAAGTGCCCATAAGCTGGAGGATCAACATCATCTGCCTGCAACTTTGCATTGCTTGGGCCGGAAGCTACGCTAACGACTCCATTGTTCAGAAATGAAAGACATGAAGAACATAGTAACAACAGTTCTACATCGTCCTAGTTCCTTATCAGCAACATAACTGCTTATATTTCCATATAGCATCTACTCTCCCACTCCTATGCAAGAAAGAGCTATGCAATCAGTGTTGCTATTTCCAGCATCAAAACAATCGTATGCATTGAAATGAAACGACTGCTCGTGAATTCGACAGGGCAAATTCAATCTTTAAAAAGAGTGAGGGAAAGACGATAATACGCACAAGGGGCCTTCATGGGCAAACGTCGCCATGCCTTGCCGCTGCTTGTGCTTAGGATTGGAGCTGCAAAGCACATAGACTCTCCCACGCCGCTTAATTACTTTGCAGAACTCGCACATCTTCTTCACAGAAGATCTCACCTTCATGGCTGCTGAAAAACACCAGAGCAAGCAAATTACAAATTTCCCCCCAAACAGAAATAGACCCATACTTGCAACTAACAAATTCAGCAAACCCATAAACTCAAAACGTGAAAAGGCGGCATCTTGCGATATGAATCGAATTGAAACGAGCAACTAAGGGCGAAATTTGCAGTGAGAAGCGACGAGATAGCGGAGAGAACGAGAACTTACCTGTTTTGGACTTGAGAAGCTGGACGGCGATGAGAGACGATCCGGATAGGAGAATTGAATCCGCAGGCGCAGAGGGAAGAACTGTGATTGGGTTACGACGAGACGAGGTCGATCGAGCTCAGCTGATGGGGGAGATTGTAGGTTTTTCAGTGCGACCGAGAGCTGAAAACTCTCACTAGCTGGGACGATGACCAAATGTTTAGCCCAATATCTAGTTTTGTCAGTTTCCTAACAAAAACTGTACTATGAAATGAGTTTGTGAGGCCCAATGTTAACAAGGCCCAACATAATGGGCTTGGAAATCCCACTCGGATCGGAAAAAACCTCTACCCAATCTCTCATTTGATCGAGAATTGAATCCGCACTTGCGGATACTCAATTTGACTCGATCCAGTCAAAGGCTCAGAGGCGATTTGTTTCTTCGCCACGATCCCAGCCTTTGCGTAATTGTCGCCGCCGTTTCCTCGGCGCCTGTTCTTCCGACTCCACGATCGTTGGTTCATCCATGGGAGTTTTTGTTGCCACGGGAATCCCCCGTGCTACCGAAATTCAACTGCCTCTTCTTGCAGTTGGTTGTGCTTCAAAAAGGGCAGTTTCGAAGGGGTTATTATGTTCAGTTCTATTTTGGGGGTTCCATGATTCAACTCCTATGCTTCATTTTCTTCTCCAGTCTCTCCATAGTATTGGTCTGGTTTTTCAATTGGGTCTCTCGCCAGTCTATTCGTCACTTGGTGGTCAGTATGGATCCCATGGATATTGACCAGGTTGTTGACTTCGATGATACTGATGTTGACATCGGACCGGCTCAAGCGCAAATCAGTTTGGTGGGAAGGTTGTTCGCTCTTCATCCTCTATCGCGTGTTACGATGGACAGTGTGGCTAATGGGATGTGGGGGACGGAGCGCTGTCCGATCATTGTGCATGAGGCAGACAATGGGCTGTGGCGCTTCATTGTGGTCGATGAAAATATCAGGCGGCGGATTGTCCGCAGGTCTCCGTGGACAGTCAAGGACTTTGTTCTTCATCTGCTGCCCTGGGCTCCGATTACTCCGACTCTGGTAAGGGAACTCGCTCGCGTTCCTTTCTTTGTTTACATGTCCCGAATTCCACCGCATCTGTGCACTTTGAATCTGGGGAGGCGTTTTGCTAACCATATGGATGGGGGGATGGTGGATCGTGAGATAGGGTTGTTTGCGGATAATCCAGGCCAGAGTGAGAATTTTATCAAAGCGAAGGTAATCATTGATGCTGAAGTTCCTCTTAGGTCTCGCTTATTTGGTCAGAATGAGAACAGGGGGGGTTCTGGGCGAAACTTGAGTATGAATATCTACCACTGTTCTGCTTTCATTGTGGGAGGCTTGGCCATGGGGAGGCTCAGTGTCACTTTCCTCCTCCTCCTCCCGGTTCTGAGGTGTATGATGCTTCCATGTCAGTGAGGCCGCATGGTATCCTTCTGAATGAGCATACCCTCTTGCCTGAGGGTCATCTGGCGATTCCACGTCGTGGTAGGGGTCGTGGGCGCTACACTTGGGTTCATCCCCGCAACACTTCCGTTCGGGGCAGAGGTCGTGGTTCGAGGGCTTTTGCTGGGGCTCCGGATATTGATCCCGATCCATGGCACTATCAGACTGTTTATGCGGGTACTGAAGGATTTCCAGCCGATCGTGCTGCTTCAGGTTGTGCTCCTAGGAATACTTCAAGTTCTGTTCGAGTTGAAAATCCTGTTCCTCTTCGTACCATTTTACCTCCTTTGCGTATCTCGGATGCTGGTGGCGAGGCTGGAAGGGGTCATACGTCTAGGGTTTCAGATATCAAAGGGAAGGGCAAGGTGGTAGTCACTGAGGTTGACTCAGATTCTGATGGTGAAGTAGATTTGGGCTCCACCTCTGTTGTCCCCCGCCCAGCATTCCGAATGAGTCTCTCTGATGCAGAGATGGAAGTTGATTACAACAAGCGATCTCATGATGAGATGACAGCAGCTATTCCGCGGCTTGAATTATCTGTTACTCCTATGCTGGAGGGTGGTACGAGGCAGCAGGAGTTCATGGGTTCAGAGACTTTGGAGGATGAGGATCCGCCCGCAAAAAGGCTTCATATGGAGACTGATGACATCCTGGAAACTGTGGAGGCAGCCAGCAGCGAGTGGCCCCAACCCCCAGTATGACGGTGCTCGCGTGGAATTGTCAAGGTTTGAGTCCGGCCTTGACAATTCAGTCATTGGAAGGGCTCGTGCGTGTTTATAATCCTTATGTTTTATTTATTTCTGAGACTAAGAATGAGCGTTTGTTTGTGGATAATGTTGTCCGTTCTTTAGGCTTCGTGGATTGTCATATTGTGAATCCTGTAGGGCTCTCGGGTGGCTTAGTAGCTGCCTGGTCGTCGGATGTTTCTGTTTCTGTCCTGTGTTCAGACTCGTTTTATATTTCTTTAAGACTATGTATGGCTGGTTGTGATTATATATTGGTGTTTGTCTATTTATCGTGTGATGATGGTATTAGGTGTTCTCAGTTTAGATATTTAACTCGTTATTGTTCTTTGCTTGCTGTTCCGTACTTGGTAGTTGGAGATTTTAATATGTTGTTACACTCTTCTGAGAAAATGGGAGGTCGTCCTCTGGATTTGTCTCGTGTGTTACCTTTTCGCACATTCGTGGATGATTTAGCTCTTATGGATATTGGTTTCATAGGACCTCGCTTTACTTGGTCTAATAAGCACTCTGATGGATCGGTCATTTATAGCCGTTTGGATCGTTTCCTTTTGTCGTGTGATTGGGTTCAAAAGTGGCCTCGTGGTAAAGTTGAACACTTGTCTGATCAAGGCAGTGACCATAGAGCTTTGTTATACCGCTGGAATTGTGATTTTGTACCAGGGAAGCAAATCTTTATGTTTGATGCTCGTTGGGGGACTAATGCTGAAGCTGAGCAGATTGTGGCTGAGGCTTGGCTCTCTCCAGTTCATGGTTCCCCTTTTTTCCAACTCTGGTCCAGGATGAAGCTAGCCAGGCATGGCCTTTTTAATTGGGCTAAGAAAGGCACTTCCAATTCTGCGCGTCGCATTCGTGAATTGCAGCATGTTTCCCGGCAAGCTCGTAACTCTTATCCAGTTGATTGGGCTGAAGTGTCTCGGGTTGAGACTGAATTGTCTGCTGCTTGGAGGGCTGAAGAGTTATACTGGAAACAGAAATCACGAGTGAATTGGTTACAAAAGGGTGATCAAAATTCTAATTATTTTCATACTGTAACGCGTGCTCGTCGTCGCAGGAATCATATTCATGGTCTGTTCACTAATGATGAACGATGGGTGACTACAGAAGCTGAAAAGCAGCAAGTTTCCGTGGATTTCTACAAGGCCCTTTTCACTTCTGCTGATTCTTCTTCTGATTATCGGGAGCGGGTTGCAGCTAGACTTGATTCTCTTCCTTTTCCTCGGCTGGTTTCTCCTCATATGAACTCGATCCTTTTATCTTCAGTAACTCCTCACGAGATCAAAGAGACTATTTTTCACATGGGTGAGTTTCAAACCCCTGGTTCTGATGGCTTCACAGGTTGTTTCTTCAAGTCTTTTTGGCATATTGTAGGCGAAAGTGTGATTCAAGCTATCTCTTCTTTTTTTGTTCGAGGACGCCTTCTTCGAAATATGAACCATACTTGGCTTACTTTAATTCCAAAGGTTGAAGTTGTTGAAAGGGTTTCTCAATTGCGACCGATAAGTCTTTGTCAATTCCTCTACAAGGCTATTACTAAAATCATTGCCAATCGGTTAGGAGCAGTTCTTCCTTCCCTCGTTTCGGAAGAACAGAATGGGTTTGTTCGTGACAGGCAAATTGTGGACAATGTTCTTATTGCTCATGAGGTGATGCATTTTGTGAAGAATAAACGCCAGGGTCGTGAAAAGGTGATGGCTTTGAAATTGGACATGGAAAAAGCTTATGACAGGGTTGAATGGCCTTATCTTTTTGCTCTTTTACGACGACTAGGTTTTGCTTCTCAGTGGATTGATTGGATCAAGGAATGTGTCACCACGGCTACATTTTCTGTTAAGATGAATGGTCAGCCATCGGGGTATTTCTCGGCTTCCAGAGGTCTTCGACAGGGCGATCCTTTATCCCCTTTGTTATTTGCTCTTTGTACCGAGGGATTTACTGCTTTGATCAGGCAGGCTATTCACCGTCATGAAATTCATGGGGTCCGGATTCACCATTCTTGTCCTGTCATTTCCCATCTTCTTTTTGCAGATGACTCGTATCTTTTCTTACGTGCTTCACGTCGGGACTGCGACAACCTTTTACGTCTGCTTCAGGATTATGAATGTTTGAGTGGGCAACGAGTTAATCTTCTTAAGTCGTCAGCTTTTTACAGTCCCAATTTGCTGCAGCCTGATCAAGAGGACATTAGTTCTATGTTGGGCGTAGGTTCTTTTGGCCTTCAAGATCATTACCTTGGTCTCCCTTCGCTCATGGGTGCTTCTAAATTAGATACTTTCAGGTATGTCGAAGAAAAGTTATTGACAGTGCTTCAAGGGTGGAAACAGCGGACTCTTTCCGCGGCTGGGAAGGAAGTACTGTTGAAAACTATTGCCTCGGCATTACCGATTTATGTCATGTCTTGCTTCCGTCTCCCCGCTGAACTGATTAAGCGTCTTAATGCTCATATGGCGAGATTTTGGTGGGGTGCTACTCAGACTCATCGGCGTATTCATTGGCGTGCTTGGAAGCATTTGTGTGAGAGTAAGTTTTCTGGCGGCCTTGGCTTTCGAGAATTTGGTTGCTTCAATCAAGCCCTTCTTGCGAAGGTGGCGTGGCGAGTGTTTCGAGAACCGACTACGTTACTTGCTCGGGTTTATAGAGCGCGTTATTTTCAAGATTCTGATTTGCTCTCGGCTGAGGTTCGGGGTAATTGTTCATGGGGATGGCGCAGTGTTCTTTTTGGTCGGGATCTGCTTCGTCGTGGTCTCCGTTGTCAAGTTGGGACGGGAGAAGACATTCATGCTTTTACAGAAGCTTGGCTGCCTACTACGCCTCCTTCTATTCCAAGTCCAAGGCAAGGTACTGCTAATCCCAATATTCTTGTTTCCACCATTATTGATCCAGGGTCTCATTCATGGAATCATAGAGCTGTGCATCACTTCTTTCATCCGGATGCGGCTGCTGCTATCCTCTCCATCCCTCTTCCGATTCGCAGGATTCCGGATCGGGTGGTCTGGCATTATGAATCTTCGGGAGAATTTTCAGTAAAATCAGCGTATCATCTGGCTTTTTCCTTACAGCAACCAGTGCAGAAGAAACATGGCGTTTCGTTCTTGGATCAGGGGCTCTGGAAGTGGGTTTGGACAAGGTCTCTCCCGCCGAAGTTACTGTTCTTCCTATGGCAGTGTTTACTTCGCATTTTACCAACTAGGGAAGCGCTTGCAGCTCGTGGGGTTGATTTAATTCCTATTTGCCCTGTCTGTGGTCGGAAAGAGGAGACCATTGAACATTTGTTCTTCCAATGTGTTGTGGCTAGAAGACTTTGGACACTGATTGGTATGCGACAACATCTTCTCGTTTGGGAGAAGCGATCATTTGTTGGGTTTGTTCGCCATTCTTTACGGCCAGCAACAGGGGAGGATCCTGATTATTTTACGTTGCAGATTGTTTGCCTCCTTTGGCGGTTATGGAAGAATCGTTGTTCAACTCATTTTGAGCATAAGCAACTTCTTCTTCCTACCCTTGCAGCACAGTGGCAACATCAAGTTAAAGAGGTGGACATGGCAATTCTTCAACCACGTAGAGCTGCTTCTGCAATTCCATTTTCTTCTTCTTCTGCAGGTCCTCGTTCACGGTGTCATGCTATGTTTGATGCTGCTGTGAAAACAGGTTCAGCAGGGGTGGCTGCTTTTGTTCTGTTTGACGATTCTGGCGGGTTGCAAGTGGCAAAGGCACAACATTATGCTGGGATTGAGGATCCTTATATTTTGGAATCTTTGGCTTTGCGTGACTGTCTGCAGGAGTGTGTGCGCCGCCAGCTCCGTAATGTGGTTGTTGGAGGTGATGCTAAGGTCGTTATTGATAAATGTCGTCACAGAGACACTTCGGATGGCAAGATCGGTGCGATACTGCAGGAGATTCTCTCCCTTCTAGGAGATCTTGGCAACTCGCAAGTGCTTTTCATAGGTCGTAACTTCAACAGAGTGGCTCATTCCGTGGCCCGTCGTGCTCTGAGTTTATCACCTTCCTTTCAAAGGGGGTTTGATTATGTAGCCTGGTATAATAGTAGATAGTTTGGTTGTAAACTTGGATCGATTCTGTATCCTCTTTTTATGAGTGATCGTTTGGTAAAAAAAAAAAAAAAAAAAAAAAGTCAAAGAAGATAAAATCCAACATTCAAAGATATAAGCTTGTGCGAGGATATAATTCGTTTTTGAAATTGGCAGGTTGAGTTGGGTGCAGGTTGGATCAAAACATAGTTTTGCAACTAATCCTAACAATATGGATAATATCGATAAAGCTCTTTTCAAATCCACTCGTTCAATCATAAACCATGTAAAGGGGAGAATGCGCGAAGTTCAATCATAAATCATGAACTAGTGTAGCGAGCTGCTCACACTTTACTAGTTCAATCGGCATTAAACCATTAACAAACATGTACATCATCAACCAGAATATTATAAGTAGAATACACATAATAAGTAATAACTCACTGAACCATATATAAATTCAACTTTTAAGCATTTTAAACTAAATATATTATCTTCTTTTCAATAATAATAATAAATTTTGTTTGCATATTGACACAAAACGAACCCAATTGGGAAACAACTTGTGTTTTTAGTAGGAGGACCTGGATTTGAATCCTATATTCACTAGTTTTCAAATGACAGTTGGAAACTTAAATCGTTTGTCTGGTTCATACCGTCAGTATGATTAACTGCTCGAACCGATTTTCAATCGACCGAGTACTCAAAAGGGTATGAATACTTAACTGATCTGAACCGGTTTGATATCCCATTCCTAATTTTCCTGGTCCGGTCGGTTCGACTCGATGTTAACCACCGTGGTAAGGCCGTAAGGCATGTACTTCCAATGGATATATGGTTTGCCTTTGCAGTAGTAATTAAGCAAACGGGGGGCAAGTAGCTGACGACTGCTGGTTTTAAGAACCTTATTATTGAGTATATGAAACTTGCCGGCGAATTTGAAACCAAAGCGTGCAACTTTGCCAACGTTAAGGGCGGTTAGATAAATATTTAACTAATTGATTGATTAATAACGTGAAGATGTAGCTGCACATAGTTGACACTTCTAAGTTCTAACCAAAGGATTCACTTAAGCAAACCTCACAAATCAACAAGTAGTGGGTAGGTAATGGACAAAATAAACACAACTTGCTTAACCATATTATTGAAGTTGTTAATTAGTTTCAAAGTTGATAGTTTGGCACTAACGATAAGATCAATTTTGATTGATTATGATGCGAAAAATTATTACAAATATACGAGGACTTTTCAAGGAGTCATCCAGAATGATTTGCACCTAACCAATCCCCACAAATCAACGAGTAATAGGTTATTATATAGTCTTTTTGTTGAACTTAATACTTTGGTTGAGAGTTAGTGAAAAGCATAAAGCTTTTGCTCTTTTTATTGAAACCCTAGATAGATGAAGAAGGGTCATCCTTTGCCACTTTGGAAACTCGTAGAAAGAACTTTTTAGAATGTGACATAAGATTAGTGTATCATTCAACCATTACTTAGCTGAAGTTATACATAAGTGGATGCACGCATCATCTCCCACCAAACACCACATACATCAATTCAGCCAACGGTATATGATACAATCTTAACTAATCGAAGGTTGATTCGCTCGGTTAAAATATCCTATGTTCTTACATATTACGCGATTAGTTTGTTGAAATTTTTGTTGTTAGATGTAGGTACTAGGGATGATAATTATACCCAAAATTGTGAGTATCCAACCATACCCATCCCAGTCAATGAGGGGAATGGATAATGCCCAAGAAAATTGTCTCATTCTCATACCCATAACTGGGCCGTATGTAATTCGTATATTACCTACACCTCAATTACATAATATGATCTCTTCCTCCTCCATCTTCCACGAAGATTCAAAAAATAATGTGATGCTAAACACCTTCATTTCACTTACTCAATTCTATCGGTACATATATGCCACCTTTTTTCCTTAATTTCCCCTAAAAATTTGAGCTTTTGTTATGTTTCTCATAGTTTTTGTGGTTTATTTATGATATATAATCCATGCTCAACATTCTACCTCTAAAAGCTCTTCAACTTAACTACATTAATTTTAAGTTGAATTTGGTTCGGATTTTCGGGCGGAGTATTATCCACAAGTATTGTCCTTTGATTTAGCCTTTCTATTACATATTGTTTACTTGGATAATAGAAATGCTCTTCTAATTCAATATGTAATTTACTTGCATAATTGGGGTGTACATAGAATTCATGATCAGTTGTTGATTTGGAAAGATACATGAATATAATTACATATATGTATTCCATCACATGGTAGCCATTTCTAACATCAAAACTAGAAATAAACAAAGAAAAGTAAAGAAGAAAAATACAAAACTAGGGCAGAGACTTGTGGGCTCGAAATGGGCTGGTGTTGGTTGGTTTGTTGGCTTCTTGCCATAGCCAACAACCTTTAAACCGCTAAAAGAGAAGACCAAGATCTCCAGTTCTCCACATGCTTTGCGCAATCAAAGTCCAAGCAAATGGGGAAGAAGAAGACCCACAAACAAAACGACTGATGCAAGTGGCAGCTGTATTTTCCGATGAAAAAGAAGTGGCAGCTGTGTTGGAATATAAAACGGTCAAAGTTGCTAGTTGAGTGACACCTAAAATGAAGATAACGAAATTGAATGGCGAGAGAAACCTCCTATGCTCATGAGAATCATAACAATGGACACATAATTATGCATGCATTCTTCGAAACAATTGTCACGAACGAGAGATAATACTACTTCATCCACCAAACATAAACAATAGATGGAAAGAAGAAGAAGAAGAAGAAGAAGAAGAAGAAGAAAAAACCGTTCTGGAACGTAGTATGTCGTAATGCAGATATCTCCGAGCCACTTCGAAAATGTCGTTACAATCTGAATCTCGTTATGGAGATTGTTCGAAATTTTGAGTCATATTATCACATTGTGAGAAAGATCATGGTTACAATGAGCATTTGGCAAAAATATGCAACCTTTGCACAATTTTACGATTAAGAAGTGCCTACAACAAAGTACAGCAACCCCCATCTTGACCAAATCACGTTCAAACTTCATTGCGGGGGCACCAAATACGACTTGACTTCTAACCCTTTGCTCTTCTGCTCCCCACAAATTGTTTGTATTTAGTTTTAATTCTAGTTCACTTAATTGTTATTTATTTTCATTATTTTGGCATGTTATTGTTTTGGAATTGAACCTCAAACCCTTATTTTGTTTCCCCAACTATAAAACAAATCCCTTGGTCCAAAATTCTTTGCTGACATCCTAACAATAGTATAGTACCAACAACCCAACACTCAAACTACACACAGAACCTTTTCGAGCTACTTAAAAGCTAAATTAGACAACTAAATCATCTTCCTCTGAAAATTTCTTTATATTAGTTCTTTCAATAGCCTTGCTTTTTTTAATGACCCGCTCGATATTGAACGAACCGGAGTTTAACCTTTCTGTGGTGTCACCAATATGACATCTACGGATAAGGTAAAAGAGGAATAATAGTCTTACGTTTTATTTAACGATAATTGAAACCCAACAACGATGGACAATCAATTTAATTACGATCCACGTTTTTTGGGTACTATTGAGCACCAATTTATCCCGATCTGATATAGTTCTACACTCAAGCCGGCCATACTCCACATCAGATGAGTGTCCAAGTTCAACGAGCAGTAATTTTTTTCCCCCTTGTTGGTTGTTGGTCACAAAGTTGAAACGTAGTAGTGTGATTGATGTTTTCATCTTCCCATATTACCAACCGGCTAATCTTGGGGTTACCATACATTTTTTTTTACAATTAATTAATAAACTTCGCGGTAAAGATTTTCACTGATGCACAGAAAACTTTTACAACGATCAAACTAATCCCCATCTGTTTCCAACTTTAACTTCATCTGAACTCGGTAAAAAAAAAAACACAGTAAGAACTAAAAACATCCCTTCCTCTTCAAATTTACCAACGGGGACGGAAAAAATTACAGTTACGAAGTTACCGTCTGTTGGGATGTGGGCCCCACACTTTCCCCCCTGTAATGAAAAGAATCAGAGGAATCCCTTCGAAATTTTTTTTGGGGGCACACAAAGTTAAAAAAAAAAAAAAACGGATTGAATTATGCACAGAGCTTGAAGGAATCGGAGCATCGAAATCAGCAAGAGTAAGTCAATCGTTGAATCCCTCGATCCCTCAGTATCCCGGAGTAGAGAGCCCGTCTGTTCTCCGGCATTCCCCTCCCCTGCTCCGGCGGAGAAACATCGCCGCAACATCTCTTCGGCGACGACGAGGCGTTCATCTTGGCGGCAGCAATGGCTTCGCAGTGCCTCCTGAACTCATCCCCGTTCCCCCTCGGCTCCACCACGTCCTCCGCGAAGCGAACCTTCTTGTTCTTCTTCTTCTTACTCTTCTCGCTCTTCTTCCCGTCTTCATTCAAAAAATTATAAAAAACAAATTCCAATCAGCTCAGAGTAAAGACGGAAGAAACAGAGAAAATTAAAGCGAGAAGAAGTTTCGCGTACCGGAAGAGATGCAGGATCGCAGAGATCGCGACTGGTGGAGAACGATTGGCCGGCGATTTTGGTGTTGGACGGAGAATTGAGCGGCGACGGGGATGGATTTCTGGAGGCGGAGGGCGAGGAGGATGAATGTGCCGGAGACGGCCATGGCGGTGGCGACGACGGCGCCTTGCGAGCAGAGCGTCGGGGACATGGTCGCTGCAGCGGATTTTTTTCTGACGAATTGTTCAAAAGTTCAAACAGAGGAAGGAAGGGAGGAAGAAAGACGAAGCAGCGACTGAATAAAAAGTGTGGGCGAGGCGAGAGAGAGGGAATTTAAGTAAGGAATTAAGACAGATAATCCGAGTTTTAGTAATAGTTTAACTTTGTGACCTTTGGTTGACCAGACCTAATACTACAAGGAATTAGGGAATCTATTCATAATAAATCGTGGGGAAGTGGAATTAATTAATTAATTAATTGTTTTCTTTATCTGGGGGAGAGTACGAATTTGTGTTACCTAATCCGAGTCTGGAAATAACTGCGTGGTGGTGGGTGGCTTTTGAGTTTTGATTGAAAAAAAGAATTTGGATGAAATTGGCAAATTTTGGGATTTCCCCCAAAAGTGCAATAATACCTCAACAATTATCACGGTAGATTAGTTTTTTATAAGAAATTGTCATTTACACACATCGTTTTTTACTTGATCGCGAACATACTAAAGCGATCTGCTCCTTGATTGCTTATGGCGGAAGCGATGAAAAGCAGCAAATCCCCGACTTTCGTAGCAGTGGATGTAGTTTGCTTGTGTACAAAGCAGTGCCAACTATTGATTGTTTTAGGTAACAACGGTGTATTCTTTATTAACGTAGAGGGAAAAGCGATGTACTACAGGTCGCTTTCCGGTCGACAAGTTTTCATGATAGTGTTCGGCGGTGGTGCGCCAGATTAGTCGTCCTGGTGCGCATCGCGGTGGGATTTCGCGATCAAAAGCATATCGCTTTCGATCTAAACAATCAAGAGGTAAATCTCTTTCGTTAACCGCAATCAAGTTGAAACATGTGTATAATGATAATTTTCTAATAAAATTACTGTAAATTAGAATTTTTAAGTACTAGTATGTTTTGGCGAAAAAATCCAAAAAATTGCTATCCTTACTCCCATGTTCTATGTGAGAAGAACTTTATAAGCGTCTAGCTTCATTGGATGGAGAGAATTATGATGGAAATGGAGACGAAAAGGGTGTATTGAACGTCATTCTTATTTGTTCGTCTCGTCACTAAATCATGAAATAACGACCAATTCTTCCTCACGAAAAACAACTTTATTTCGATGATTAACCATTTATCACTTGGTCGTCATTGTCAACATCCAGACGATTAGTACAAAGAAAACAAAAAGGAGGACGAGAATGGATTCTCCGGCGAGAGGGAGAGGAACTGGCGTCAGCCATGATGTGTCCGATCATCCCCTTTCACTTTCCTTGGAGCCATTCCCAAACACTGGATGGAAATAAGGTTGTTTTTCTGTTGATAGATAGATGTTCTGTTTTCTTCTATCTTAAATAAGATTCTTAATCCCTATTGAGGGTTTTGGAAGATAGGAAAACGACCTTGTAACCAACAAATTGCCTCTTGGCCTCTCGTTTCCTAATTGCTACTAGCCCTTCATTGATTTTTTTTAAACAAAATCCCATTTTTCTCTTTTAAGAATGCTTTGTAATTAGTCCAAATATGTGATCTAGAAGCATAGGAAATAGATGGAGGAACTAGGTGTGGGCGTTCAGTTTCGGGTTTTTTGTTTTAAGCAAAACCAAAATCGGGTTTATATACTTAACTGATAAGCCCTTAATGCAATTCGGTTTCATTTTCGGACAGTTAGCTAATTCGGGTTTCTGATGATTTTCCGGTTTGGTTAACCGAACTGAATCGACCGCCCCGAGGACGAACTGAAGTTTTGGTATTCAATGAGGAAATCTCGGTGCAACAAGTAAACAAGCATTTGGTAGGAGGCTGGATGCATGCACATGATGAATGTCAATTATCAAGTAATGGCTATTATGTATGTTTTTTTTGTTTCTTTTGGGATGATCTAAAACTGGGACTTGCCACTGTTAGCAATGGCAGCAAGCAACATCTATATAAAGAAAATCATGCTCAGATCAAATGAATGGGGAAACCTTTCAACTTCACCATGTTCATTGATTGCTTTGATGAACTTGGCAACTAGCTAGGTGGTGCTTTTGGAATCCGCTGCTTTTTATGGAATGTACTATCTCCCAAAATCACTACTCTATAAAGGCAGGATTGTCTAAACTGTAGTGTCCAAGCCTACCTGTACGATACAGATTAAGTACTTTAGATGCTACGACACTGCGACCTTCATCGCCTAATCCACCCGGGATGCGGAATGCTTCTTCCAGAGCAGTGAACTGCATCGCAATGAGCTCTGTCAATTCCTTCTCGTTCCGTAGGTCGCCATCATAACTCGTTATCGCATTGGAAAGACTCTGGCGCACATCATGCACTATGAAATCCTACAAGAACACAGCACAGGAATGTCATTCTCAAAGTGAAGATAGATTGTGCTGATATAGAATATCCTTCTCCATGTATAGCACCAGCTATGGTTGTGTTCAAGGAAGCCAACACAAAAAGAGAAGCAACACAGTAACTAAAATATTCGGCCCTTTCCAACGACACAGACTCTGATCAATTCGCTTGCAGTTTAGCGGTGAAGAACTCTTATGATTCATGAACCCATTTTATGAAGTAAATGATCATACCTGTGTGTGATCGGTCAAAGAATGTTTTCTTCCTTTCCCCTCAGACTGGAGACCACTTGAGTCGTCTGCTTTCTGATCTCTATACGGGCATCCCTTTCCAACAGTTGTCCACTTTTTGTATTCACTGCCTAAGGTTAGAATAGCGAGGAAATATTGAGCAAGCACCTCCTCCCCAACCAAACAGTCCTTGATAGCTCCTGAATTTGAAGAACAAAAGCATGTGTGTTGGGAACATATGTGTGCCTTTTCATATCTTTTGCATACTTACATCAGCACCCAGAACCGAAGAAGGAAAAATCATAGAAATGAGTGCACCTGTTAAAGCCAGCTTGGAGCAAGTCCCCACATCGAGTATCTCAGGGGGCAATATACCAGGGGTATCGAGCACAAAAACATTCGGATGGCTAGCAATCTGGAAGTGTCAATTATAGAAAGAGAATACTAACCAGTAAGCCATAAAAACCAGGAGAGCTGGAACGAGAAGACAATATAAGTGAAAGGGGAATGAAAAAGGGATGTTCTCATGCAGTTCCTGAAGAAGCCAAGGTCATGTTCTGATTTACATCCATGCTACGGTCAGTATCATCATAATTAGAGTTTTCAACAATACCAAATTTCGACACATGGGGTTCACCAAAATTATGAATATCACATATGAGATTTAAAGCGAAAGTGTTGTGGCCTTCCCCTTGTTTCATCAACAAGATGTATCAGAGCAAAGATTACTTGCCTTCAAGCTAATGATATCAGTTGTTTCTCCAGGATGTGGACTCACCGTTGCATACCTGAACTTCCCTCTTTCTTGAAAAACAGATAAAGACAAAAACTTGATGTTCATAATGTAAACCAGCGAGAGATGGCACAGAGAGAAACATGGGAAGAGAGTTACCAAGAGCACTTATCCTGCCAATCTGATGCAAAGAATTGGCAAGAGCCGACTTCCCAACATTTGGAATCCCTACAATCATTAGTACCCTTGTCTGACCCGGATTGTCCTTGTTTAATGCTCGGACTTGTGATTGCAGGAAGTTAAGGAACTGCAGACAAGATAGCAATAGCCCAATTTTCAGAAATTCCATTCAATGAGAGAAGCAACAGATGCTTGCACATAAATTGAATGGAAATCAGTAAGTGAAAGACTATATATGTCAATGCTGTCAAGATAATGGGAGAACAGATGCCATCTTTGAGCAAATGGAAAATTAACCTCCTTCACATTGTCTTTGTTATGGGAATTCACAGGATAAGAAATGCAATCATGCTCCTCAAAATACTTGCTCCACTCCTACAATTAAGAGGCCAAAACAATCCCCACAGCTTGATTCAGTTCTTCAATTCCCAAAACAAATCAAACAGGGAACAGAGAGGGAAACAGTTGATTTTGAGCCAAGTACATTAACTCGGGACCGATCAGCAAGATCCATCTTGTTCAAAGCAATGATCCAAGGTTTGGAAGGGCAGCGTTGGCGGTACAGTGGATACTCGGACGCCAAAGGGATCTGAAGCACACAAGATCCTTACACACTTTCAGTTAGGCATATCATCAAACAGGTTGTGAACATGCAATTTCAAAGCCAAAAAAAGGCTTCCAACTTACCCTAGCATCTCTAACTTCAATGACAGCATCAACAAGATCAAATCTTCTCGCGACAGCGGATGCTGCAGCAGCCATGTGAGGCGTGTACCATCCTTTCCCTCTGTTCCTCGCGGCTTTCTTCACCGCATTTCCTATCTCTCGCACTATCGAACTCGTCATCTCTTTTCCTTTACTCCATGCTTCGACCTTCTTTGATTTCCAATCGCAGAGTCTCGGTAGCCATCATCCCCTAATATACCAGAAAGGCTGAATGCTCTGTGAATTGATTGCGATAAAACCCAGAACCTCACGTTCAAAACTGGCGCCAAAAGAAAAGAACCGATTCACACGTCATGGAGTTGGAAGGAGCGGAGCGGTAGGAAAAGAAAGAACAGTGGCAGGAATGTAAATAAGCAGAAGTAGAGGGGCGGATTCCCAAAATATTTCTGCCGAGACTAAAACCCTAAATCCCTTTCCTTCTGCTTGTATAACTCGCAGCTCAAAGCCTGAAACTAGGGTTGTGAAATCGTATAGAAAGCCATATCAAATTCGTTTGTGATAGGATATTTTGTGGTATGATTGTTGTCAACCATTTTGTGACAGTAGAATACAGTTTTCGAAATAATTTTTTATGTTAAAATATCGTACAGATCAAAATATGCTATTGCATAGAAATAATGTTATACCAATATCATTAGCATGTTGGACAGTGACAATCATACGACCCTTACGACCTAATCTTGAAATAATTGTCCAACGAGATGATAGACAAATGAAATCATAAACAATCTCATCAAATTTTACATTTAGATCTCTAGAACAGTTGCTATAACAGTAGTACCAAGAACATTTTGCAAGTTCCTCTGTGTTTTGTAGTTGTTGTCACGGAGCTCTCGATGAAATATCATGGAAATGAAAGTACAAATTATATACATCAAACACCCATGTTTGAATGTGTTTGAAGATGTATGAACCGAATAACATTGTTTACTAGTTTTCTTAAAGGGGTTAATGCCACATTTGGTCACTGTCATTACTAAATTGTGTCATGGTTAGTCACTAGAAAAAATTAATATCAAATTTGGTCACTCTAATTACTGAAACGGGTCACGTTTAGTCACTCTCCGTTAGTCTCCGTCCAACTCCGTTAAGGGAGTCTGTTATGTGCTGACGTGGCTAACGGGAGTGCCTAGTCAGCACCATTTTGGGTCAGAAATGGTCAAACCCGACCCACCACGTCACTAAACCCGCCATGTCATACACCCAACCCGAACTAAAACCAAACCCTCACCCACTGAACAAAACAAGATTGGAAAATCGATTGGGTTATTGGCCATTTCAGACCAAAACCCTTTCTCCTTCCTCGAATCAATTCCCCCCACCAAAAAATCCCCAAATTCATCATAAAAAATCTCCTTCAATTGACCTTGCATCTTCTGCACTCATACAAAGAGATTGATTAAGGGAGAGGGAGAGTGAGGTCCGTCCTCTCATTCAGCAAACATGGAAGATGACAGGAGGGAAGAAGTAGATGAAGGGAGACCGAACCTCATAGTGAGTAATCCAGATGTATACGTCAAGAGCTCACTGGTACTGATCCAACATCCCCTTGCTTCTGCGCTCCCAACCAAACCACACAAACAAAAACAAAAGCAAAAATCCGACGCTCAGCTCAACGAGATTGAAAAATTGTGCTATCCAAGCTTGGATTGAAACTTCCGAGACGAAGACGAAGACTGATCAACTCGGATTCAGCTCGCTCTCATCTGGAATCGGGAATCTAGGGTTTCGGAGAGAGGAAGGGAGAGATTGAATGAAAGTAGAGGTGATGTAGACTGACGTGGCGGCGGGGTTGATGAACTCGTGGAGCTTACCGGTGCTGGAGACTTTGGCGTTGCAGAGGACGGTGAGCTCGTTGGCCTTCTTGAAGAGCCCTTTGCGGCGCTTAGAGTAAGTCACCTGCCAGTTCGTCGAGTTCTGGATACTCTTAATCTGGATCTTCCATCGAGCTATCGCCAACTTGCTTCAATCAAACGTACGTGCTTCTAGGGATTCCGGTTTTTGACGAATTTGGGGATTTCTTTGTGGGGGATTGATTCAAGAAAGGAGCAAAGCGAGGAAGGAGAAAGGGTTTTGGTCTGAAATGACCACTAACCCGATCGATTTTCCAATCTTGTTTTGTTAAGTGGGTGAGGGTTTGGTTTTGGGTCGGGTTGAGTTAGTGGGTTGGGTGTATGACATGGCGGGTTTAGTGACGTGGCGGGTCGGGTTTGACCATTTCTGACCCAAAATGGTGCTGACTAGGCGCTCCCGTTAGCCACGTCAGCACATAACGGACTCCCTTAACAGAGTTGGACGGAGACTAACGGAGAGTGACTAAACGTGACCTGTTTCAATAATTAGAGTGACCAAATTTGATATTAATTTTTTCTAGTGACTAAACTTGACACAATTTAGTAATCACAGTGACCAAATGTGGCATTAACCCTTTCTTAAAGTGATGATGCATTGATCACACGAAAATTCCAACAAAAACGTGGATTGTCTCCTATTGGAGAATTTATCCAACCTTGTCTGCAGAACAAAATGTGAAAAGCTAAATGGTGCAGACCCTGTCTTCATACAGTTCTTAGTGTTTGTGTCACTTGCTTTCTTCATCTGAAATTCCTTGGATACAGAACATCCAGGTTACATATCAAAATGCAGAGCTGAACCATCTGGACCGATATCGCGAGCTACTCGGAGGAGGTATTCTATGTCGATCTCATCAGGGAAATGCTGCAACAACTTCAGGTTGGCTGCAAAATCCCCTCCCAGAAGCTTACTCCTCAGGCTAACTAACATTGCACAACAAATCCTCAGCAGCATATCCTGCTTCACAACCACAACACGCAACTGTTGAGAATACATCGAAAATCGATTTGGGGAGAGATCAAGATGAAGAGAGAGAGATAGAGAGAGACCTGGTTCCCAAATGGACTACTCAGAAGAGAGTCCCAAATCCTCAATATGGACTGAAACTTGAATTCTTGAGTCAGTAGCAGAGTTATCCACCTGAATGCATAGAACTGAGGATTCACCTGTATCATTTCCATCAACATTTGCATCTTTAGTTCCTCAACTAGAATTTTTATGGATCCAACTCTCTTAGGCTCATAGAGCTGACCTTGCTTGTGTATACAAGATGGCACCACAACTCCTCGTCGTTAGCTTTCAACAACTCCATTAACCTGGATAGTGTAGAGAGGATGCCAACAGGGCTATTGTCCATGTGTTTACAGAAGTGATCGATTGAATCACTCATCAACCTTACAAAGCAGTAAAAACTGTCTGCTTCTACATTTGCCTGGACAAAGCATAAACCCAGACAAAATGAATGAGAGACTATTTATTGCTTCAAACAAAGAAGAAGCCTTTATGCTTTAACTTTTACCAGATCTTGCTCATCATAGGTGGTACTAAAAACATAGAAAATGGGCGCCAAAACCTCGTTCATGCCTTGCACATAACCAATAGCTGGGTTCACTTTTGCAAACAGCAGAAGAATGTCCCTCATTGCTCCCTGCACAAAAGTAAGAGTTCTTAACCAATGGTAAAAAACCATGAAGCTGGACAACAGATAACCAAGTCAGGAGCAAGAAAACACACACACACCCTGTTCTTCCTACTGAATGATGAATCTCCTGAGAAGAAGTTCAAGTCAGGATGAGTTCGATCCACATCTCGATCGATCTGTTCAGCAATCTCTCCATGCTTCTGACGAACAGATTTTCAAACGATTGCCCCCCCCCCCCCCCCCCCCCCAAGAATTCTCCATTCCAAACAAACAGTGGAACAAATCAAGATCTAACCTGGAAGTATTGATGCCAAACACTAGCCTTGACATCATTAAGTGGGTGATCTTCAATTCTATGCCGCTGAAGCTGTCCAGCGACATCAGCTTCATCATTCAGAGCCTCGTCTTTCTCTCTCCAAAGCTCCGACTGTCTACATTCAACATCTCAAAATTAAGAAAGGGCTTCATAACAAGCATTTAAGTATATATCTAAATGGCCAAGCAACCACTTACAGGACTCAGAAGCAACTCCTCTTTTAACTTGGCGTACTTCTCTCTGTTCCCCGAAAGCTCTTTGTCCCACAAGTCTCGAGACCGAGGCAAGTAATCCAAGAGTAGCTGGCATCATTGAACACACACATGTGCCATGATTATGAATTGAAAGCTGGGTTTTCCTTCCCTCTTCAAAATCATAATGTCTCACAGATTTCACACAATTCAGACACTTACATCATTGCACCACACATGTGCCATGATTATGAATGAAAGTGGTGGCCTTTTTGGAACCTTCAAATGGGGCAACACAAAACCAACTACCAATTTCCAGACCAAAATGTTTAATAGCGAAAGGGACTTCGTTCTTGATAATGGCTGTCTGCTTGGTTGTTGCTAAGTTGCAGTGTATTGTAGCTTTCTTTTCAAACCCATTAATCATTCATTCAATTGCTTATTTATGATGAGTGCAACTAATCGCACTCAAGTTCTTTCATCGATACAGTTACAACCATCTTACTATCACGAAATCGGTCGAAAATGGATCCCTCTATTCAGATTTAATACAGTTACCCTTCTTCGTAACATACTTAATGAAAGATTGAACATTTAACCAACAAAAAAGCAATGCCTTACCTTCCAAGCTGTAGCCCTGATTCCACCTCCATTAGGAAGCCCCGTGAAAGCAAATCTCCTCAATTTCTCCAAATTTATCTCCTCCTGGGAAAGCTGAGTAAGTAGAAGTTTACATTAGAAAATAAACAAAATCAATCATAATCAGTTTTATATTTACTAGGGGAAATTGTGGAAATTCTCACCTCGTGCTCAAGATCGGACCATTTCTCCGCCGCGGCAATCCTCTCGGCAGAATCATAACCGCCGCAACTTCCCTTCTCCCCCAAATCTAAAGATCCATTTGGCTCGATGAGTTCCAGCTCCTCTCCCGGCCGATGCACGGCGACGCCGTTGGGCGAGCTTCCTGATTCTCCCCCTCCGGCGACCGAATTCTCCGTCAGATCTCGCGCGAACAACGTCCCGAGGCTAGGTTTCCGATCCGAGAGGTCATCGGTAAGCTTGTCCTTGAACATGGCGGGCGAATTGGGGATCGACGAGGTACAATTCGGGGAACTCGGTGAAGGAAATCGGTGAGTAGTTCGCAGTCATGATCGTGATTGAGTCGGATGGAAATCTCGCGGGTTATGAATTTAGAATCGAGTTGAATGGCGGTTGCAGGTTTGAATTGCAGTTGCTTGTCAATTTAGTTTCGAGAAAAAGGCAAGAAGAACAATTCGATGCTTAAACTTTCTTAGTTTGGTCATCATGGTACATAAATTTTATATTAGGTCAAATATGCACACGAAATTAAATTGTAATCCCTTTTTATCACTTTGGTACCTAAAATTTTTTATATGCATATTATTTGTGGACATGAGTCGTGATAATAACTAGAGCGAAGTTTGCTACATATTTACCCTTTTAAGCAATAAACCGTAAAAGTAAGCCTAAAAGTTGTGGAAAATGGAAATAGTGCATAAGGTAAAACCAAAGCAGAAAGAGTAAGACGAAACAATATATAGTCTAGGAGCTCGCTCTACAGGCTACAACCCCACTCGATATGTGTGTATGTATGCATGCTTAGAAAAAGTAGCTCGATGTAAGTTGTTAGTATAACTCTCTAAGGCTCGAATTTAATCATAAAAATTTGTATAATTCTTTTTTTATTTCTCGTTCATCCTCCTTGCAAATTTTGGTCTCGATTCGTACAAGGCCACGGGATTGCTTTGGGATCTATTTACCCTCTATTCTAAGTCATAAGAAAAAACAATTCAACCTCTATGCAAATGCCTTTTATTAGGAAAAAGATAATTTATTCACTTAATTACCATGGTTCAATTTTTATTGAAAATTGATGATTACAAGAAAAGGACTACTTCTTCTTACCAAAAAGAAAAGGACTACATAAAGATGCATGCTTCAAATGAAAAGAAGGGAAATGGACCTTCTAACTAATATAATATTTTTGTGATTGTGATGTGGTTAGTTAGTTAGTTAGTTTGTTAGTTATGGTTAGTGTGTTTGGGTGGGAGGTTGTTTGGAAGCGATTGATACAAAAATGTAACACTTTATTTGGCAAATAATGTCGTTTTTTCATTGTTATTATATGTTCAAAGCTGACTGATATACTTTTCATGGGTTTTCAAGCATGATGCTAGAAAATCCTTATTTGATACGGACTGGATAAACTTGTGTATTAGCATTGTTGTACGTGAAAATGATACTAATCAAATATGTGATCTGGAATCTAGCATGAATCACATTATTAAGGTAGTTCATCTCGTCGGCACCTTTCTACATCGATTAGCAGCCTGTCATAACATAAGAGCCGGAGGAAAAAAATACAAACTTTATGCATGCATGGAGTCAAGTTGCTCGATAGCGTGTCACACTGGACGAGGTTTGATTTTGTGTTATGAGTCTCACCATTGACAAACAATTGAATCTTCGAATCGACCCGCCTTTGCAGTATTTCCAAATAGCAACATATTGTAACCAATCATCTGAGAGAGCCCATGCACATGACCAACCGGAGTATTCTTCGAAAACCGAATCGACTTATCGCTTACCACATTCCACTCTCTTGGTGTGTGCTCAATGTAGTCCCAGACACCAACCGCATACCTCCACATGTTCTACAACACACCTTGTTGCTAGCTCTAGCTATGATCATATTCCATCTCATAATACTACATTTCATGTACACATAACAGGTACAGTATCTCCAACCTACAAAGTAAGTATGCACATATAGTACTCGGACAGAGAGAGAGCCACGTGAAGATCTCCTGTCAAGTCAAGAAAAGGAAATTGCAGAGCCCAGAGGACACGTATGTATCAACACTACCAAACACCAATGAGCTTAGGTAGAGGCTTTGACATGACTAGGAGAAACGTATTTAACAGCCTGCAGAGCCTTCATTTACCAACAATACCGTTCTCAAATATCTGAGCCGACATATATACGGTCAGGATGCCTGTATACAGTATGTATACTAACTCGTACTTCTTCACAAAACAACTCCTTGAACTCAATAGGAAAAGTCCACAGAAAAGTGGCCTCTGTCAGAGTCCCTCATGGCCCCGAGGATCGGCTAATCACACCTGCAAACCTGTTCATGTTCATAGTTCATACTCTAGCTAGCTCTTCAGTTTACTGCTCAATGATTTGACTCTACTTCTGGCCGGCATAGCTTCCACAGGTGGAAACAACAGTTGAACCTCCATGAAGCGCGGTTTCCTGCAGAGAAAAAGTCTTTCATATATGCATAACTCGAAGATTGAAGTAATTGACGAGGATGGAGCTACGTGTAGTTTAGACGCACTTACAAGACTTCTGCATAAGAGATATGACATACACATTAGCCAATGGAACAAAGGCTGTTTGGAGATTTTGCCTGTGAAGGCGCCCACCACTTCAGTAATTGGGCGTAGGCCACTCCCAATGTGCCCTACAATATTTCTCCATCACTCGGTATCTCATAATACACCCACACTAAGAGAGGCTCCCCTTTTCTCAATAGGACAAGATAACTAATTTTGATAGTACAATTAGTGAGAAAATTTCCATCCCTGCGTTTATGTTGCTAGTTTGTCGTGGTACATTCACAGTTAGCAAACTTTAAGAGACAAAAGGAAGATACCCAAGAAAGGTAAAGCCTAAAGGTAAAAGTCTCAATTCCCTTTAACCCCTTGGTTATAGTTTCCCTCTCTTAGCCTTCCATCCAATGAAAGTTCACGTTTTGCCCTTTAAAGTTTGTAACTTTATGTACATCAACCATGTTGTTCATCTAAATTCAATAGGTTTTCCGTCCTTCATTACTTCTACACGAAAAGAAAAGGAAAGAATTGCTACAAATTTCTGGGATACGAGTTGATCGCCTTAAAGTCATTGTCGTTTCTCAGACACCATTAAGTCAATAGTCTAATGACTAAAGTATCTGATTCAAATGTGCATTCTAGCAATCACAAAATTTCTACTCATCACCATTTTCTGAAATTTTGTAGAGAGAAGGAAGAAGAGAGTGTGTACCGTGTAGGTGAAGGCTGTTAAATACCAGCTAACCTAGTACAAACTTTTTAGCTCGCCGACACCGTCCTCTTCTAACCTCTAACCTCTTTCTGCCATCTATGCCGTCCCCTTCTTCCTTTTTCTCCCTTCATTGATCATCATTCAACATCGTCATCATAATCCTAACCTCCCCAGCTTTGCCTTTCTATAATTACCTTCCCTTTGTCTACTCTCTCTTCCTGTGCATTACTGTACTTTGAACAGCCAGCCAGCCTTCCCCGTTCTCTGTGAAACTCTGAACTTCCCTGTACTTTCCTGTCACACAACTGAAACCTTCCCTTCACCTGTTCTCTCCCCCTTAAACCCACCAACAAAATCACAGCCCAATGGTGCAATCAAGGAAGTTCAGAGGCGTCAGGCAGCGTCATTGGGGCTCTTGGGTCTCCGAAATTCGACACCCTTTACTGTAAGCGACATTTCGTCAAACACTATGCGTGCATTTGTTATCACACTCCATTCACATTGCCCCTAAATTTCCCAATTCTGGCAGGAAACGGAGGATCTGGCTGGGGACATTCGAGACAGCGGAGGAAGCTGCGAGAGCATACGACCAAGCCGCAATCCTGATGAGCGGCCGGAACGCCAAGACCAACTTCCCCGTCACCCAATCCACCACCGACGGCGAAACCAAACCCACCTCCTCCTCCTCCTCGTCTTCATCATCCCCATCAGCCCCAATAAAAAACGGGCTGTCCGAAATTCTCCACGCCAAGCTCCGCAAGTGCAGCAAGACGCCGTCGCCGTCGATGACCTGCCTGAGGCTCGACACCGAGAATTCCCACATCGGGGTCTGGCAGAAACGCGCGGGGCAGCGGTCCGATTCCAATTGGGTCATGACCGTGCAGCTCGGCAACCGATCGTCGAATTCAAACAATACCCATCAGGAAAAACAAGCTACTGACGATCCAATCGGCAGCAACAACAACAACAACAATTCGGAAACAGCGGCGGCAGAGCCGGTGCCGGCAATCAGGAAGGAAATTGAGGAAGAGGAGAGAATCGCGCTGCAGATGATCGAGGAGCTGCTGAATCGTAATTGCCCCAGTCCAAGTGCGAATCCGAGTAATGGGTTTGGAATCGAAGGAGCGGCGGAAGCAGGGGAGGAGAGTGGCAGTGGGGAGCTGAGTGAGCTGCTTCAGGGGAGCTTTTTCATTTGAGGAGGAAGAAGGTAAAAAAACAGAGTGGGTGTCTCTATCATGTGATATCTGTTGTCTTACTCTTTTTCTTCTTTATTTAATTTGTCAATTAATTATTAGATGTGATATTTTCATATTTGTATAGGGATTGGAAATTTGCAAGTGAATTTCCTTTAATATGTTTCTTTTCATGATTATATGTTGCCCAATGTAAGGAGGAAATGGAAATTGGGGTATTATAGGGGAAAATATTGTATCCAAAATAGGGAAACAATAATACAAATGTAATTTTTATTCAGAAGATAGTAATAATATCAATGGAGTATTTTTATTCCTACTAGTTTCATCATGAAGAGCTCCGTTTATGTATTCTTACATGTGCTATGTCGATGTTTTTTTTTTTCGATTGATGTGTTTCGTGTTTGGCACAAAGTATTGTTTTTAACGAGTTTTTCATTAAGTATTTAAATTTTAACGAATATTATTTTATAAGGGCGAAATAGGTTTGTTTTTAATGTTACTCTTACCAAGTCTTTGTTCGTAAAATTTTAATGGATATATCCTACAAAATTAGTTTCAAATGGAATTAATTAGTATCGATGAAAATATCGTTTATTTAAGTATTTGATAAATTAGGATGTTTTTAAGTCTCTGAAATTCTTGTTGATATAAAAGAGGTTAGGATGATGTATTTGGCATCCAGTTTCTGAAAAAATATAGGGCCATATTTAGATAAATCAAGTTTGGTGGTGTATGGCAGAGAAGCTATAGTTCTTCCTCAACTCTCAAATCATGTAAATTTTCTAAGTGTAGTTTTTAACTCTTTGGTGGTCAAATTTTCTAAACGTAGATTTTTAGCCCCTCATTCAAATTCATGCTAACGATCAAGTTAATTATCTAAATAACGATAGTGAGGGTAAATGTGTATAAAAAAGTGGGTGCCTGTATACACACGGCTGACAACTAGGTTTGCAAATGTGTCGAGCCAATCTGAGTTTTGTCTGACTTGGACTCGGCTCATTAATAAATGAGTCGAATTCGAGCCTAATTCGTTTATCAGCAAATCCAATTAAGCTCGAGTCTAGCTCATTCATATACTATGTTGATAACATATTATTTAGTTCATAAATTTTAACTAGTCCATGTTGTTTCATAGTAATTAGTATCTAAACAATATATGTGCTTATATACTGAAAGTTTTGATCATATGGGTTGATATATATAACTCAACAAACCTATGAAATTATCAACAAACCCACTCATAATATATAGATCGGTTCGCTCATAATTCGGCAGTCCAGTATTGAGACGTATCATAAGTTTAAAACGAGCCAGTTCACGAGTTGATCAGTTCAACAAGCCACTGAAACGAGCTGGCTCGCGATCTTGTCAAACTCAACAATGTTTAGCTCAACCTCGACTCGTAATAAACGAGTCGAGTATCGAACGAGATTTTCTCGAGCCGAACATCGACCCGCTCGTGAACAACTCAACTCATTTCGCACATCACAGCCCTACTGATGACGACCCTTAGACATAATCTACAGTCTACTTATGATATATAATTAAATGACACATAATCGTAATGATAATGTAACGGGTGTGTTGTAGCTCTAGCTTAGGACCACACCTCGTGGAGATTATAATGATCTCTTAGCTAGGCTAGCTAGGTCTGTTGTGTAGATATTAAATAACCATCTCGTTTCATTATTACTACGCACCTAGCTTACCATTATTACCATTTTGGTAGTACGTAATCAAAGACCATGATCAATGGTGAAGTCAAGACTTGAAGGGAGTGTTAGAACTCAGAAGCAAAAATAATAACATTAATAGCCTCTTTGAAATTAACGCGTGTTGACAATAAGAGAGCTGATCAAGGATTGAAATTCCGGTAACGTAACTGTGGTTCAACCAGAAAAACTTTTTATTGGAGGCTAAATTGATAGGCTAGCTGTATTTAGCGGTATGAAGTGGTTGAACCATGGCTAAACCATAATTTTAGCATTAAATACCCTATCGCTAACTTTTCCAGTGCAACCTCCGATACGATATTTCAATCCTTGGAACTGATACTTTATCGTTATGCCACTTTTCTTACCGTATGATCTATATTTTTAAATGCATGGTACATGCAAAGAATCTATAGTAGCCTAGCTACATGGCATATATACAACGGTAACACTCTTTCACTAATCATTTCGAGTTAATTATTTATGCATTTTTACGGAAAAAAACCAAGAACAAGTTGATCTCAATAACTCGAATTGTTGGAAAATGTTCAATTATGGGTCATGTACCATTTACTAACACACACGCCCTTAAATGAAAGCCGACTGATCATATGTGGTTGAACCTTGCACAAGTACTCTGGATATCATGTGCTTAATAAAGCCGACGAGGGTTACCGAAATTCGACCAAAAAAACCTCTCAGACACAAATAAATCTGATACCATGTCAAGAACCAATTGATATCAATAGCTCAGTTATGAATCAGATCTCATATCTACTAAGAAAGAACACTAGCTAGCTAAATTGTTTCATTGTTTCTAATTATTTGTCTACTCTCACTTAGTTGCGATAGCGATAAGTCGATCGACCGAAGCAAGAAAACCTTCGTCTCTTTCTGTGATGAGAAATGGCGCAAATGTTGTAAAGGGAGAATGGTCCAAATTTCTAAAGGGTAATATGTATATGTACGTAAACCACCAAGCAAGCATGCATGTGACGATGTTTATTACTACGTACCCTTTCGAAATATATCATAATAAATTGGCTGCTTGGAAATGAAACCATTAATCGACTCTTTTCTCGGACCACAACACATCACATTATTATTATAGTACTCCTCGATCCTTATATTACTGTTTCGTCGACAACCTACATAAGACTTCTCTTATGCACCATCTCTTCGATTTGATGCCTCTTAGTACGTACCATGTTGTCTTATTATTTCCTAGCTTAGCTAGCTAGGTTTGCGGTTGTCTTGTATTTATACATCTTACCTAAAAGTAGGCGACGAGTGATGGAGATTTATGTAATTAAGCTAGGTTGCTGGTGTTATTAGTTCAAGTATCATCATCATTAGTTGATGTTAATCACTTATTCCAAACGATCCGTAATGATAATAGTGGCGTTGTTTTGCTTAGTGGTTAGCGATTATCCACTACTCGACGAATGATGTGATTAACTGATAATTAGCATAATTTTCATTCTGGAAGCCAAGCCACTATACTGTTAGTGGTGGTAACCAGTTAATTAGTTATCAAAATATTTATCGGTCGTTAAGTGATTAATTAGCTGTCTCAACTAGTCATATGGGCTGGAGCTTAACGGGTGAGATTGGAGTTCGTCAAATCACATTCGATACAAACAGCTAGTTAGGCTACACACTTTTTGAGTCTTGAGTATACTTGTTCGTGTGTTCCACACAATTTGGGTATGGTGCTATTTTGTTTTTTAGTTACATGGTCTTATTGTGTTTCACAAACCAAACAATAACAATAATCTCTCCTAAGGTTGGAGTCCCTGCTAATTGCATAGCTTATTCCATCGGGCCAAACATCGTAATCATATGGGCTGCAGCCCAACCCAAGTGGTGAGATTTGAGTTATTGGGCTATACACCCTCGGCTCTCGACTTCCACGCATTTCCACAACCTAACAATTCCTCATATTGAAACGAGGGAATGATAACTCTAGGAATACAATATTGATACGGTCCAACATAAGAAGTAAAAAAAGTAAGTTTGAAGATGTGTGTTTCTCACTCTTAAGATAGTCTATCGAAAATCATTCATGTTTTTATCACTCATTGGATTTCAAAGTTTTTTTTTTTACCTTGTTTCTTGCAGTAAATGTTCTTTCTACACTTGCAATGACAACTGGTAGCAAGTAGCAACAAATGCCACTAAATTTTGAGTTTTTCATTTATATTAAACTCAGTTACATAGTATATTAAATTTTGAGTTTTTCATTTATATTAAGTAGCTTTTGTTGATATTTTGATATCTGCTTCCCGGCAGGAAAATGCTCTCGTCGAATCCCTCTCATATGTCTTCTCCGACGGCGACGGCGGTCTCTCCCCAAGGGCGGCCGCCAGATCCTCTGACCCCAACAGAAACTATGATGAACGAAGGAAAGATGCTGGAGATCATACCTGAATCGTCAACGCAGATGGATGTTGAGGGCGCTGCTGTGCAACTAAAGGAAACAGGGGCCCCGATTGCCACAACGCCGGTCTCCGACGGGTCTATTTTTTCAGGCATGGAGACTATGGACAGGTTTCGAACAAATGAGAACACAACCACGCTCCCCCTGGTCTCTTATGCTTCTGCGGTGGCGGGGAGCGCTAGTACGCAGCAACCTCCGAAGCAAAGGTGGATCCCTGTGGGTGAGCATGACCTGGTGCCAGGGACTTTTAACGGCGAGCCGGAACTTAGAGTCTCGGACTCGTTCAGGAATAAACTCAGCGCTCCTTGGCAGCGGACCCTGGTTGTTAGGCTGCTGGGGCGCTCGATTGGATACTCGACTCTGTGCAATAGACTGAAGGCCCTCTGGCGACCAACTAGCGCGATGGAAATCTTTGCTCTGGGTGACGACTGCTTTTTGGTCAAGCTTGGGAACGATAAGGATTATTTTTATGCTTTGTCTGAAGGCCCATGGGTTATCTTTGATCATTACTTGGTCGTGCACCAATGGACTCCCTCTTTCAGGGTGACGGATAAACTCCCCACCTCCATGGTTTTGTGGGTTCACTTCCCAGGTCTCCCCGTCCATTTTTACCATCAAGAACTCCTCTTCGCGCTTGGCAATATGATCGGGAGGGCTATAAAGCTTGATTATCACACTCAACACCAACAACGTGCCAAGTTTGCTAGGATGGCCGTGGAGGTTGATCTTTCCAAGCCTCTGGTTCCAAGAATTAGACTTGACGGCCGTTGGCAAAAGGTGGAATTCGAGAATATCCCTGTTGTTTGCTTTGAGTGTGGCAAGGTCGGCCATACCAAGGTCACATGCCCTTTGATTTGTCAAGACCGGCTGGTTGCGGATGTTCATGGCACGTTGCCGTCGTCGGGGTCCGACGCCGGCGAAGGCGACTCCGGGGATGTAGCCGGGTTCGGGCCGTGGATGCTAGTCACACGAAAAACTCGGCGCAATCAAAGGGAGGTGGGGGGACAAGGTAAGTCGGATCAGAATCATCTAAGCAACAACGGTCACAAGGCCAGGAATTCAGGGAAAGGGGAGGAAGGTGATAAGGAAAGACTTGAGAGTCTCCCGAAATTGCAGAGTGGTAAAACAGGGAAAGTGGC